GTGCAGCTACGTGTAATTCCTGACGCCAGTTCTTGAATATTAGACCTCTTTTTCTATCTCCTAATATCTTATTGCATTGAAAACACTTTGTATAAGGCAATCTTTAGCGTACGGCAGTGACTTTTTGGTAAGAGGGCAGGCTGGAAGGAGTGGGCACGCAGTTGCTTTTTTGAAGAAGGCTGGAGGGCGAAGCGGGCAGCCTGAGCTCACTCTGCGCTTTCTGTCATCCAGATCGACGACAAAGAGTTTGACATCCCTCAGGTGGACACCCCCCCGACGCTGGAGAGCATCCTGAACGAGGTGCGTGCTCCCGCACACGCAGCGGCTCCCTCGCAGGGGTCTTCCCAGAGGTTCTTCTGGAAAGGGAAGCTGTGTAACTTCACCATTTCCTAACCTAATGGGTGGTAAAGTGTGTGTTTAGTGGAATAGTTGCTGTACAGTGTGTAATACTGAATCAAAATACCCATGACTGGAACATGAAGGGTTTCTATCAAATTTAAGCAAGTGCAGCTGTGGGTTTGGGAAGTCATCTCAAGACTGCATTTTGTCAAAGGTCAGTGCTCTCATCTGTTTCACATACATAGAGTAGCTTCCTGCCCTGATGTTTGGTGTTGCTGGAACTGTCTTGTAGCGGAGAACTGAATTTCAGTCTGAATTTCACCCAGTTTGGTGCCTGCTTTACAATAGCTCACCTTACAATAGCTAGGGGTGTTCATGATCTTAGGAAGGAAAAGAGGGAGGACAGCAAAATAGAGACAAGCTCCAAAAAAACCCCAGACTTTCACAAGCCGAGGGAATTGGGACCTGTGGAGAAGCCAGTATTAAAGAGGAGCTTGGGAGACATGGTGGTTCCTTAAAAAAGCTGTATTGAAGGTACAGATATAAGTGTCCGGAACAGTTAGATGTAGTCTAGCAGCTACTGAAATACCCCCTCCACTGAGGGCTATGCTCTCCTTCTGATGTCTTGCATAAAGTAGAGTGAATTTATAAATTTGGATGTTATCACACTGGGAGAAAATGCAGCCACCTCCACATCAGAGGACAGGTGTAGAATGCTGGAAGTCTTAAAACTGGAGAGGCAATCCAAAGAAAATTCAGTCGAATGAAGACAAAAACTTTAGTCTTACTCTTGTGCTATTCACCTTGGTGAAACAGACAGGGAGTGACTGACTTCTTCCAAAAAGGTGTGATAAGCGTAGATCATACCTGCTGAAGGAAAACTGAATAACTTTACTTCCTCCTGTAATGCACTCCTGTGATTATTGTGAATTCTAGATTTTCTGTACTACTAGTTCAGTAAAATAAGAAATAGTTCTGTCCTTGCATTTAAGATCTCATTTTCCTCCCCCTCCCTGTGATTGATAGACTTTTGCTAATATTTCAGTTAGGGTGCTGTGCAATGCGAGTGCTTAGCTGTGGTGCTTCTCTTCCTTCAGACTGATGATGAAGAGGAGTCTTTCATTCTGGAGGATCCCTTTCTGTTGAACATTGACAACACGGATACACACTCCTACGACACATCTTCCGTAGCGAGCTCTGACAGCGGGGACCGCACGCACCTGAAAAGGTACTGCTGGGCCTTAGGAGGCTGCATGGTTTCTGAAGGAACCAACCCAGGCTGACTTTAAGAAAATCTTTTAAGGATGTACCTGGTGGCTTCTAGATGCTGCAAACAGTTTATAGTGGTTTTAAAGGGTATGTGTAATTGTTGTCACTCCTGTAAATGGGATTTGAATCTTGTCATCTGAAAACAGCCTGGAACGTGATAGTTGGCCGTAATGCTGCTGACTCGTCTCACTAGTTATTCAAATCACAGCCTGATCCTACCCTCCGAGCACTCCCACGGCCTTCCGGTGCTCCACAAGTGCCAGGTGGCTTTGGCATCTCCCAAGCTGTGACTGTTCTGTCGTTAGTAATTGCACAGGGTGTAACTGTGACAGTGCACGTTGGCATATGGTGGTGTGCTGACCCACTGCCCTTTCTTCTACAAATAAGGTGGTTTCTGTTGAATGAAATGTAACCTGGAGTCACTGGAGTGTTTTCCAGGCTTTCATACGGAGAGAAACGAGGAAGTATTACTGTCATGTTTGGGTGAAACTGCGGGTTTTATGGGTCCTCAGCCATAGCGCCAGCAGCAAACAACATATTTTTGCGGTCTGTATGTGAAGTATGCATTTATGTGCCTCTTGAGACAGGAACCAAATGATTCTCTCTGTTAGTTTTGCAAATTCGGCTTTCTGGTGCTCTGTACTTGGCTACAAAATTGCAGTTTTGCTTTTTGAAATTTCTGTCTATTTGCATCTCTGCTATAAGGGAGCAAATACTCCTTCAAAAGGTAACTGTCCCCTGGACACTAGTTGCTTTTTCAAATGCATTTTCCTCCTAAACAGCAGCATTTACCTTTTGTATCAAATCAGCATTTACCTTTTGTGTTTTAATTTAATGTTATTCTTAAGCAAATGCCTGTAGTTTTCCCAGTGGGCTGTATTCTGCTAATGAGCCATGTTCAATTGCATGTTTTCCTTAACTTCCAACTATAAAAACTGAAGCTTCCTGAATTGCTGGAGGATGAATCAACGAGTTCTTAGCTTTTTATATTTCAGCTTTTCAGACTAATTGCTTTCAGACTTTATTAGTAAACTAAGCTTTGCAGATACATGTTGAAACTGAAAATTTGTTTGAAGGATTTTTTTTTGTATTCCCCTCCAAATGTTGAGTTTAAAACAACATTTATGCAGGCATTGTGATGCATCTCAGACTTTGCTAATAATTTCCTGTCCCCTTGACCCCTATGCCTGTGGGTCTCTGGTGGAAGCTGTGTGGGTACTGTGGGTTCATGGAAAATTTACTTTCTGGTTTAGCTGTGGTTTAAACAATGTTCTAAACTTGTATTCCACCATAAAATGTCTGTTTTTCCTTCTTTCCTTAGAAAGAAAAAACTCCCAGATTCTCTCTCTCTCCATGGATCAGTTATTCGGCTCTCACTGCTGAAAGGAATTTCTGCCCAGATAGTGTCTGCAGCAGTAAGTCTCTTTCTCCAGGTTCATTAAATAAATATCATTAAATAAAAAAAATAAAAAGGTAACGCACTGTGGTGCAGAGGTGTGTGTGTGTGATCTCCTTCTCCTGCTACTAGTTCTGGTTAATACTAGCATATTCAGTGCATAAACTACCACTAGTAGTCTCTAACCTGCAGTGAATCGAGTATTAGCTGGCTTTGCTTCTCTTACTCATAGCTTGTCTTTTCTTTCTAGGACAAAGTGGATGCTGGCTTGCCTACTGCAATAGTGAGTATTCAGGCTATTTCCAAATATTTTATAGTTAGTCTTCATATAAGTATGTTTAAACGTATTTAAACAGTAATTTGATACAACTGATTAATGTATCTTCCTTCTTGTCCGTGCTAAAAATTCTCACTTATGAAAGGTGGGAGAAACAGCATGAAATATCTAGCTTCTGGGTGCAGTTGATTACATCTGTAACCTTCTAAATCTTTCACTTCTGGCAAACTTTGGGTGAAGTACTGAGAGAGTTTAAATGGTTGATTAATGACAGCTGTTTCTAAACTTTGAATCTTCATGACTTTTTAAGGCAGCATCAAATCTGATAGCAGTGGGGACTTCCCATGGATTAGCACTGATTTTTGGTAAGTAAAAACAAAGCTTTTTTTTTAAAAAAAGCTAAACTTAAAAAGAGAGGCTTTTCTGTGTTTGAACGCAAGTTACCCTGTTTTCCTGTAGCAGAAACCAGAGTTCAGTTGACATTCATCTTGTGCCCTAGAGATGCTCTTCTCCTTTCTGCTGCAATAGGTGCAAGCATTAGATGAAGTAAATTGTGCTTTTTTGGAAAGTAGAATGTCTGAAGCCTTTCATCACAGGTTACTTCTACCCTGGTCTTCCATTGTGCCAGTCACCTGTCTTTCCTTTCACCTTATTCTTCTTTTTCTTGTATCACCAACCTGCCTTAAATATTTTGAGCTGTATCTCTGTCTGATTATGTGGCTAACCCCCTAAGCAAGAACTATACTTGAAGCGCTCCCATGGGCATCTAGTTTATGTCCCTTTTGTCAATGTTAAGAACTTGTTGCAGCAATTTTATAAACCTCATTATCATCTTCTTTTTCCTCTCAAAGTTGGCTGAAGTTACTCAACAAACCAAAAGTTACGGGGGGAGAGGGTACAGCAGAAGAATGGGAAAGACTGACAGTGTAAGCCTCCCTTCCCAGGGAATCTAGATATTAAACTACTTCATGGCATTTGCTCAACCTCGTTTTGAGTTATTTACAGGATGTGCTAACTGTGAATACAGATAGGATGAGAGTTACTCCCTGAAGTTTTAAAAGCTGTGTGTATGGCTTATACAGAAATGGAAATGCTTTTGGCCTGCAACATGTAGGACCTTATTCTGGTTGAATCTGGAGGAGTCTGTCTTTTTTTTTTTTAATTTCTCCTGTGTGGTTTTGAATCATTAATGCATTTTGTGCATTTAATGCATCTAAGCTCATCTGCACCACTTCATCTTTTTTAAGGACCATTTGGGTAAAGAAAGGCTTGGGTGACTTTCATTCTGCTTCTCTTGGAACCCTTCCATTGACTCTTGAAAATTATCACAATCTTTTGACTGGGGACTGCTCTGAGATTGCACATCTCATGTTTGGCAAGCGGTGTTTTTGTTGAGTTAGAATCCTTATGCCAACTGACATCCCATGTGGTGCCTGTAAGTACTGCAGTTGATGAGAAGGGATGTGTGGAGGTCTCCTGTTCAGAGCAGGGCTATCACTATGTTTGTGGCAGAGCAATCCTGGCTTTCTCTGACGGCTCTTGAAAAGCTCATGAGGATGGAAAACATCCTCCAACGCACAGACGGGCCCATGCCTGCCCTGCTGGTAACCTGCTGCAGGACACCCAGCCTTTACGGGGAGGAGATTTTCCACAAAGTCCATCTAATCATCCCAGTTTGCAATTTGTGCTATTTGCCCTTTGTCAGTTGGCATTGCTGGAAAGAGCTTGGTGCGCTTACCTTTCTCATTACTGTAGTCATTTGGAGGATTATTTAGGTAAAGGGAAGGAATCCTGTTTGGAAGTTGATAATTTTGTCACTGAACAAATAACCCATGTTGCGACTTTCTTTGAGCATTAACAGCTAACATGGCAGAAGTTACTTCATGGTAAATGTGTAATAGTGAACAAATAAGGTTTAGAATTTGTAAAGCCTTTTTCTTTCCTCCATCTCTTATAGAAGACGTAAGGATTGTTACCCTACTTAAAATCTAGGCCTTAGACTGAGCTCACTGAAGTGTACCATTTCACATGCATATTTTACCTTCTGGATAGAAAATTTCTGCCCGGCTAAACTTGTTTTGATTGGTGTGAATGATTTATTTTCTCTGTTGGCTGTAAAAGTTAGGGTTAGTGTCAAATTTGTTGGGGTGGAGAGATAGCATGATATCTTGAGTAAATGCTATTGTCTAACATTATCATTAACTTTAAAAAACACCGGGACAGTGTTCCCCAAAATAGAGTTTTAATGTGGAACTGACTGTTTGGCTGGTGACAACTGTGGAAAATACTTGTACCAGGTATGTTACTGTAAACTCCCAGGAATATTATTTCGTTTTGTTTTAGTCTGTTCCATCTTTTTTCCTTTGGCTCAATGAGGTCAAAATGTAATAACTCATTTTTCTGCAGTGACTCAGTATGCTTTTTAAGCAACTTGTATTTAAAATGCTTACTCTCACAGCATTCTCCGTTACTTGAATAAATAAAAAGATGAAGCCTTAACAAAAGCAAACACAATCAGCAAAATCTGAAGGTTCTCTTGGGCTTTGGACATTATCACATGTGTTGCTTTTCACTCCTTTTCTTTACATTGATTTCTGGCTTTTTCTTTCCTCTTTTGACCCTGTCTGTGTGGACTGAAAAGGAAAAGGTACAGTAATACTGTCCTGTGCACGTACCCTGCATGAACAGCTCTTGTCTCTGCATGTTGCTGTGCTCGGTTCCTCTGGCAGGGCTCACGATGCCAGGCGGGCAGGATGTGAGGCAGTGCTGTAACCAGGGCATGGATAGCACTGCTGGCCCATCTCCAAATCTCGAATTTGTTCACAATTGTTGAAAAAATGTGTATTTTACACTCCCAAAGTTCTCCTGCAGGAGCAGCAGGGGAACAGGTAAACGTGCTGTTCATAATGCTTTAAGGTAGGACACCTGCGTGACTGTTTGCAAAGGTGGTGTTTCAAGACAGGTGTTTCAGGCAAAATTTGTAATATTTGAGCAATTCTGCAGGAAGCAAAGTAAGTCTTTTAAATTCAGGAAAACCTTCGTTTAGGAAAGTAATCTTGAAGAAAACTTCAGCACTGACATGCATGCCTTAGCCCTGCCCTGCTTTGTCTGAAAGACTTAAAAGTAGATGTTCTAGAGCTTATTCAAACTATGTGTAGTGGTTCTTGCAACTTAATGTGCGATGACAGGTTTGCAAGAAATAAACACTTGTGGGTTGTGAGGGTTGTTCTGGTGTTCTGCTCTCCTGCAGAGGTGACTTACTGGTGTACTTTTGTTATTTTTTCTTTCTGTAGAGGTATTTCAAAGTGCTGTCTAGTTTTCACTTCAGTCTGTTGAGGGTAATGTCAATAATTACAGCTGGAAACTTTGACATTGAGGAACTGTTTTCTTTAAGATGCAAATTCAAAAATATTTTCTGATAACTGATAGCTGCCCATGTTTCAAATATGTAAACTAAGCTTTTTATGCTTAATTGTAAATGTGCCTTAGTTCAAAATAGATGATACCCGTCTTGAAAATCCTCAACTCAGCATCCATAACCTTTTGCTTTAATCTGTTTTTATCACTGCTGTCACATTAACAGGAGCTGAATGATTCAGGCATCTTGCTTTGTCTTTGGAAGCAATTTCATCTACTCTTGTTTATGTTTACATAAAAAAATCAAACTGCTCCTGAGTATCAATTTTTTCACTGCCTGTAAACATGAACAAGTACTGACACGTTTCTCTGAGATTAGCTTCCCAAGTTACAGTTTATCAACTCCGAAAATGCATCTCAGGCACACAAGGGGCACATCCTTCTTGGGAAAATTTAACCAGAGATGCACAAAGCATTTGATTTGTGTGTCTTTCTTGTTTCCTTTGAGGAGGAGGAAATGAGAAAGTGGATTTGAAAGTTCATGTGGTGTGCAGGCAGAGAAAGAAAACTGGACTGAAAGAACTCGTGCTTCTGGGGCTCCTGCCCTTTCACAGAGAAAGCTATGAAAGATGCTCCTTTCTTGCGTCTTACAAGAAGCAGGTTGTTAATTCATTAAATGAGAGATACCTACATGCTGTGTTTCACACCTAGCACTTAGCTAACCAAGCTGCAACTTTCATGGAGAAGGGTTCTCTGCCTTGGGCGCTTCTTCCAGGGGGTTTCTGCTGTTCTGCATTCTCTCTTCCCCCTCGACTCTGTGATTCCTCTTCCATGCCCAAGGTGCAATGCATCCACACAAATTCTGGTCTAGAATTAATTTCTAGTCTATATTTAAAGAATCCTCACAGAGCAGCTTTTCTCCTCATTTCAAAAGTAGCGAAAAAGTTGAAGAGAGGAATGAAAAGCAGCTTTAGAACATGTGTTTTCTGAGCTGTTCATGAGCAGCGTGCCAAAGGCAGATATTATCATCTGTAATGTCTTAAGTGTAACATTTGTACGAAGCCATTTTTACCACGCAGGGAGAAGTGTTAGCAGCTCAGAACAGAGGTGTCTGTTGTGCAGAGCAGCAGACAGGATATGTCCATGCAGCAGTCTTGTCTCATCGAAGGGTCTGGGGGCATTGCCACCTGGTTTGCAGTAGCCTGTGGCTTGTGAAAGGAGTATTTTTTTACTGTTCATCACCCAGTAAACAGTTTGCTTTAAAGCAAGAAGCATATGCACCAGAACCAATAGTGTTTTGACTGCCTCATTGCTTTGAGGACATTAGGTCATTTTGATCCAGCTTTTTCAACAAATCTAAGGAATAAAAGTTATATAAACCTGTATTTACCTGTGTTCATCCCAGCTTGGTCAGATCTGCCTGCCTTTTGGACAAAACCCTGCAGCATAAAGAAGTACAGGACATTGAAAGTGGAACTGATTTTTGGTTATCTTCCTTTATCCCAGTTGAATAAACATCACTGTGGAAAAATAAAAGGAAAGATTGATATTGCTTTTATTTTTTTAATATTATTTTCTCATTCGGCATATAATTCCTTTCATTTCTCTATGTCTTTTGTAGTTTGTATTTTTTTAAAATATTTTTGTACTTCCGGTTGAAGCAGTGTCGTACTATTTCTGTACGAACTTGTGCCCTGACCCTGTAAACTCTTCAGGAGCTTAACGATAAGCCTATAGTATGCCAAGTGAATTGTGTGTGTAAATGATATGTAAAAGTGATACTGATTTGAATCATTTCTCTTTCTTTGTGGTTAACTTCTCCCAATTGTTTCATTCTAGATCAAAACCAGGCTCTCCGGCTCTGCCTGGGCAGCACTGCCATTGGGGCTCAGTACGGAGCTATCTCTGCTCTCAGCATCAACAATGACTGCTCGAGGCTCCTGTGTGGCTTTGCAAAAGGACAGGTAATTCCTAAAGGATGGGACTTGTCTAGTGCTCTGGTCTCTGAGGAATTATCTTTATACAGTCTCTGAGTCCCGTGCACTGCGAGCTGGCCAGGCATACGGGTTGGGGTAGGTTTTTTATGAAGGAAATGGGTGATATAGAATGTCACCCACAGGAATAGTGATATAGAATGTGCTAAAGGAATTAATGCATCATTGCAGTTCATAATATAAGAAAGTTCCACTCCTGATAAAATATACTCATCAGTAACAACCACCACAGTCTTTCTGGGTCAGTTTATAAGATCTGTGCTTTGCAATTAGAGGTTTTTTTTTTTTTTTTTTTTTTTACTACTGATGACTTGAAAGATGTTTATTCAAATTCAGATCCAGTCTCCAAGTTTATGGCTACTGAGACCTTAATTATTTTGTATTACTGAAGTAACATAGTTACCTGAACTTTGGGGGAAAAGGGCTAAAATTCTGCATTGTCATTTTATGCCCCTTCTCTGAACTCAAAGATAGATGATACCTGAACAAAGTCATGGGACTAAAATCAAATGGATAGAAGTTAATGTGGTTAAAAATTAGAATCATGAAATACAAAGAAGCCTTCTTTCTGTTTATTTTTAGTTTCATTTCCTTTGTCTCTACAGTTCTCACCCTTTTACTGGATAAAACGCACTCTGGTGCCTGTGATGGGGCTAAATGACAGACTGCTCCAGCTACAGACTTTTTTCCATGCAGAGCAGTGGCCATTTTTAAAGGGTTCTCAAACAAAGTATTTTAGAACAGCAGTTCTGAACTGAGCTGGTCTGTGACACTTCAACAGATAATTTGTAGAACCATATTAAATGGTAATTCCAGAGTTAAAAAAAACAAACAAACAACAACAAAAAACCTAATTCAAATTGTAATTTCAATTTTTGTGGACCAGATATTCCTTCTTAGTTGAGAAACTGCTTGAATTTAATTTCCAAGAGCAAGCCAAGAAAACCAACTTTTATATTCCTAGTAACGTGCTAAGGTTGACAAATGCAGGAGCAGAGGCTTCACAGGCTCATAGTAGCCTTGGAGATAAGCTTGAATTTCACTAATGGTTATTAGCCAAGAGTGTTTAATTGTTCAATGCTTCTGTGAGAGAGAAATGTATGGAATGTCTTTGAGCAGTTACATGTTGTGGCAAAGTCATCCTATGCTCTTTAGTTGAAGGAGATAATTCTGAGCTGTGAAGAAGACTTGTCAGTGAGAGCACAGGCAGGCAAACCTGCTTGTAAGCCTAAGTTAAGAACAAGCCACCATTCACTTTTCTATAAGGTGAAGACCTGCTGACCTGGGGTGATGTGGGGAGTATAGCAACTTATCAATATACTAGCACACAAGGTGATGGGGAGAATTCCTGGCAGCAAACACTTGCACTGAGAAAAATCTGTTTGCAGATCACAATGTGGGATCTGGCCAGTGGGAAGCTGCTACGATCTATAACAGATGCTCATCCCCCTGGAACAGCTATTTTGCACATCAAGGTAACAAGCACTGTGTACTCCTTGAATACCACCTCTTTCAAAGGCTGGTGGTCAGTCACATTCATTGTCCTTCTTTGTGTAGTACTTCTAGATTTATAGATAAGAACAACTGCCTAGGACCCACATTAGCAGTAATATCCAGAGGTAGGAAAAATGAACAGAAATTCTATTTAAGAAAATAAACCAGAAGTCTGTCTTGAGAGCTGAAATCACAGTATTGGCTGTGAGTTGTGGGGGACAATTGAATTGGTTTCAACTCCCCTCTCTCATGCCCAAACCTGTGAATAATTGGTTATTTAAAAATATAATTTCTTCAAACTTGCAGTGGTTTGAACTAGGTACTTGGCTTGACCACCTTAGGCTTGTCTGAGTTCTAAAATGTATGAAGTAGCTTCTTTCTGCTTATTTTTCAGATAAGCTTTTGGGGAGGATTTGGGCTGAAAGAAAATTAATCTATGGGTTGATAGAAGGCAATTGTTAAAATTTAAGACTCTATTTAACAACACAAGACTGATGCATTCTTTCTCACCAGCTCAAGATAAGCTAAAAAATGAGTGCTGAGTATCTTGGTGTTAGTCAACACTCATCTTCTGTGGATGGCTTTTTGTTGTGGACATAGTATTGTCCTCGCACACAGAAACTCATTTCTGATTTTGTGTGTGGCTTTGCTTTGTGAGAGCCCCTACTATCAGAGATCTGAGCTGTTCTAGTGGTAAAGCAGGCTCTAGTTTTAAGCCAGGGTTTAAAGTAATGGGATTTTGGTAATAAAATCTATCAATAAACCTTGTTAGAGAGTTGAGGGTGCAGCACAAGCTCTTGTATGTCTTACACATCATAAAAAAAAGCCAGTAACTGTCTGCACACTACATGTTCAAAGGAATCTTTTTGCTAGATAAAGCAATGTGTGTTTGTGTTCTGTTATTAGTACAATAGCATATATTCCTCTAGATTTTTTTTCTGATAGTTTATGTTTTAGTGCAAATTTTAATCTAATTATGTGCTCAGTTTACAGATGACCCGACACTTGCGATTTGCAATGACAGCGGGGGCTCTGTGTTTGAACTGTCATTTAAGTAAGACAATTACACTTAACTCGTAAGAGATGGCAGTACAAGCAGCTAATGCTGGCTCATAGGTTCTAAAACCACAATAAAAAAGCATTTGAACCAATTAGGCTACTGTCTGAACAGCTGAAAATATAGTTTAGGGCTGTCGTGTACCTTCACAGCTGAAGCAAGATGCTGTCTGGCTGTGTAGTAGTCAGAGAATAGTTTAAGTTATTAAGATATATATATATATATATATATTGGTCCAGAGTCTTAACTTTCTTTGTTGGCTCTAGGTAGCTGTCATAAAAGTGCTGCCTGTTGGTTTTCCATGCCTTTTCATTGATGAAAACTACCCTGCAGTAACTGCTTGTGCTCTTGGGGCTATGCAGGAGAAGGAGGATGCGGGTTAAGAAGGAAGTATTGGACCTAACAGTCTAAGGAAACAAATCATGTCCAGGAATGACTAAGAGTTTTCTGTTAAATAAAATCCTAAGGATTTCTGGTTTGCACCTGAGAAGCTGTTTAGGACTGTGTCTAATGACACTCTAAAGTCATCTCTGGAACTGTGGAAAGGGCTTTTTCCAAATAATGTTCATGAAGGATCATGCTTGAGGTTTCTTGAAGCTGTCACGCTGATCTCCCCTTGATAACTGGTCACCAAGATGCCTTTCTCCTTTCCAGGAGGGTCATGGGAGTGAGGACATGTGAATCTCGATGTCTCTTCAGTGGCTCAAAGGGAGAAGTTTGCTGTATTGAACCTTTACATGCAAAAGTTGAGCTGAGAGACCATCCTATTACCCAGTACTCGCTGTTGGCCATGGCCTCCCTAACAAAGGTATTTGGTTGCTTGCAGGAACTTCTGAGGAATTACAAAGGAGAAGTTTTCAGGCTTATACTGCAATGTTTTATTTTGTCTCTCTATTTTTCTTGAAGATACTTGTCATTGGCTTGAAGCCGTCTCTGAAAGTGTGGATGACTTTCCCCTATGGTCGTGTGAGTAGTGAAGCTGACTGCTTGCTTTTGGATTGCAGCCACAGACCTCTCTTCTGAACTCTGTCTGTTCACTGCTGTGATTCCCAAGGGAAAAAAGCAGCAGAGGGAAGCATGGACTGCGGTAGGGAGGGAGAAGGGAGAAGAAGGCTCTGTTAGCAAGCTCAGGAAGGGTTCCTCTGTCCATGTGAGGCTGCATCTGCTTTAAGTAGCCAGGATGCAGATGTCGTTCTGCCCACTTTGCCCATAGACACATCTTGCCTCTAAGCCAAGTGGTGGGACCAACAGCACAAGCTACTGCTCATGTGCCAACAGGCCAAGAAATTACTGTATGGCCTGTGTGTACAGGGCACAGTTGATGAGCAGAAGCTGAAGAGCAACTAGTCGTGGGAATGAGGCTCTGCCCTGCATGTTTTAAATACAGGCTGTGCTTTTTGTCTCTCAGATGGACCCTTCTAGTGTCCCTCTCCTGGCGTGGCACTTTGTGGCCGTGCAGAACTCTGTGAACCCCATGCTTGCCTTTTGTCGAGGAGACGTTGTTCATTTTCTTCTGGTAAGTTTGGATGTTATCTGCTGCTTTTCGCACAATCACGTCTTGTTCAGATACTCAGTTTGTGGAGCCTCTGGCTCAGTGGAAGCGTACCTGTGAATGCTAGGGCTCTCTGCAGCTGCCTTGGGAAAAGAAAATTGTTGATCACTGTAGCAAACAGCAGTGCCCTTTTCTGAGAATCTGTAGAGCTGGACTTTGCATGTCCATGAGCTGGGGTTCCTCTGATTTCCACTGGAACTAGAAGAATTAGAACTGTTTCCAAGTGAGTACCTGAATTTGAGATGTTATTTTATCTTTAAAGCCACTGAAAGGCAACTGCTTTGGGAAGTCCTGTTGGCTTGTGACTTTAGGCTGTTACTGTTTAGCTCTACAGAAGCTATATGCGTGGATACAGCAGTTATACATGCAGAAACCAGCTGTGAAAGCTAATTTAGCACTAGCATTTTGTAGTGCTGACTTATGAGCAGACAGTACAGTAGTTCCTGCATAGAAAGAAAGAGGCCTCTCGACTGAGAGTTGTCTTGCAGCATCCTCCTTCAGTCCAGTAGTCCACTGGGGCTGAGCCTCTGGAGAGCAATCGGTCCTCCTTCATGGCTCTCAGTGCTGGAAGTTTGCATCTCTCCTACAAAATGAATTGTCTTATATAAAACACAAAGGGGAAAAAAGGAACTTCCTTAAACACATGATGCCTGATTGGGCTGTGTATGACCCACCACTGTTGTAGTGCAAATGAGTGATTAAAAATGAATCCAATAGAGGACATGTATTTTTTCCTCCAGAGTCTTGGAGTTGGTGTGATGTCCTTTTGGAACAGAGTTTGAGTTAAAAAGCGTCTTTCAACTTGAGTCAGTCTTGTCTGATTTCTCTTTTAGGTGAAGAGAGATGACAGTGGTGCTATACACGTCACCAAGCAGAAGCAGCTTCACCTACACTATGACCTCATCAATTTTACTGTAAGTCTCAATACTATTGAATGGCTATTTTTTTTTTTTTTTTTTTTTTTGCACTAACTTTCGGGTAAATGATTCTTATTAGCCCTTATTTCTACACTACAAGCTTTGCAAATTTGGCATGAGAACAGTAGTATAAGTGACATATCAATGTATTAATATCAATATATTGATATAGAAGGATCCTTATGGTATTTCTCAGTGTTAAGCTGATATTCCAAAAGGAATCCATCTTTACCTTGGCAGCTGAGCAGCGATGCTACTGTGAAGTGTTCATGTAACAAAGCTACTAGCCATCCTACAACTTAAGACTTTGATACTTGGGAACACGTGCAGAGCCTGTTCTCCTGTTCTGACGGCTTCTAATTGTGCGCGTGTGGCTGAAATCTGCCATTTGTTGCCTTTTCAGTGGATAAACTCCCGGACAGCCATTCTTCTGGACAGTGTGGAGAAGCTCCACGTGATAGATCGCCAGACACAAGAGGAGCTGGAGACTATAGAGATCTCAGAAGTTCAGCTCGTCTACAACAGCAGCCACTTCAAGTCTCTGGCAACGGGGGGCAACGTCAGCGAAGCACTGGTGAGCACAAAGACATGATTTGGTTGCTTGACTTGGCCAGCTCTGTTTCAGACATGCCGGAATTGAGGGAAAAATGGCTTTCTGAAATATTTCAGATATCATACATGATGTTGATTTACCCACATAACAGATGATTCGTGTTTCCTTTTGTGCTTTGCTCTTATTGGGAGCTTCTTTTATTGGGAGCTTCTTTTAAGGCCATGCAGGATGGCAGAAACCTGCATGTCCTAATTCCCTTTGGGCACCAAAGAGCAGAGTGCTTCTTCCAGCCTGATACTGTGAAAATCTTTGCTGCATTTGGATCCACACAGCTGCTGCTGAACGAACTTTACTGGATCTGCTTTGTGCTGCTAGTGTTGCTGTTACCCTTTCTGCTGCAGCAAGAAAGAGTGGGAAGGAACTCCTTAGCCTAAGGAGTTAGCTCATGTGCTGCCTGGGCAGCAGAGGGGCAGGCAAGCACTGCGTGTGCATCGTGGTGGGGCTAAAATCTCTAATTCAGAATGTGCTGCTCCATCTCCCACACTGCGAACGTGCCTATAGGCATCCTTTGAAACAGCAGGAACTGGCAGTTGTGTTTCTGTTGTAGCAACTCTCGCTTCAACAAAATTGCTTCCATCTGTCCCTTCTGTGCATTTCTTCTTGAAAAAGATCTGGGAAGGAGCAGAAGGGAAGAACAGAGTCGCTGCAGCTTGTTTGCTTCCAAGGGCAGATGCCGAGCACTGCTTGTGGATTCTCCCAACTCCTTCGTGTTTCCTTCATGTTTCCTGGGCTGCTGGAGCTCAGTGGCGCCCGAAGTGGCATTCCATAAGCAGACAGGCATGAAGGCAGCACATTGTTACTTACTTTGTAATAAAGAAATTAAGCATTTTTCCTGGGATATTTTGCAAAAACAAAAAGCAGTTTGATTTACATGTCTCTTGCTCCCTGTAGGCATTGGTTGGAGAGAAGGCTTGTTACCAGTCCATCAGCAGTTGTGGGGGCCAGATCTTTTACCTGGGAACTAAGGTAAATGTGGGGAGTTTTTAATGGAAGCACAGGGCATCCACTGTTGTTTGTAGGATTTAGAGTATGAAGTGTAGATTGTATCCTGGAGCAGGTGGGTGGTGAGGCTACAGAAAATATTGACATTCCTTTCGCCCTGACGAATTTGAGGGTTATTTTATTTAGTTTCATCTGTATCAGCATATTCTGGTGGCTCTATAGGATTCGATGGGCTGCATGAGCAATTGCCAGTAAATAAATTGCCTTTTTATTTGTATTTTTTTTCTAGTCTGTTCACGTCATGACATTGAGGAGCTGGAGAGAGGTGGGTTGAGAGGAAACAGGTACAGCTTTTAGTAAACTTTAATTTTTCAAATACAGTTTGATAGTGGGGAGGGAACACAGGTACAGCATATTCTGAGCACTGCGTTCAGGATCTGTAATTACTGCGCACGGCAGCACTGCAGGCACACTGCTTCCCACAGCGAGATGCTGTCGGACTCCTGCTTGCATAAACCTGAAGGGACCTTGTTCTCTGCCTTATCTGCCCAAGACAGAGCCCTGCAGTGTTTCAGCTGCTGCTAACAAGGCAGTTACTGCCCCAAACAGCTTCTGAGGACTAGATAAATGTAAGTCTTCTACCAGCAAGATAATCACGCAGGAATGGAAGGAAACCTGTTTCTCTTTATTTCACCTTCAATTACTGCAGGCAGCAACATGATAGAATTTATCAAATCCTGTTTTCTTGGAAAGCTCGTTGAATCTTTTTTTTTCCTCCCTCTGTTGCTGGAAGCTGTTTCAGAGTGTTGTTTCTTTGATGGCTGAAATCCTATCGGTTTCCATCCTAAAATTCTTACAATTTGTTTAACTGTTAATGAAAAGTCTTGCATTGATCTATTGATTTTGTGTACTAGTTTTCTTAGAATTCAGAAGTCAGTCACAACTTGCACGCTCTGAGCCAAGCTCCTCCCAAGTTTCTGTGTAGCTCTTATCCTGCTAGAGGCCTCTCCACTGCAGGACTTACTTGAGAGTTACCAGGGAGGTGAGGTATTAAGATGTGAAACTGAGAGCTTGCTCTTGGTCTGAGGTGCAGAATTTCTCTTCTCTCATACAATAATTATTAAAATGCTTGACCTAACGTATCCAGATTAATGTTGCTCAACCATTTGTGTTGATGATTCCTTCAAGTAGAAAATACTTGCAACCTACTTCAGTCTTTATTGATTTTTGAACGTGAGGAAAATAAAAGTTAGCAATGAGCATGTCTGTATGTTGAAAACCCAGACGAGTTTCATTGTGTTTTAAATGATGAGGCAAGGACAGGGAATGGAAGATTTTGATTCTTTGTGTTTACAGAGACTCTATGATGCCGTGAGTCTCCATTCATCAAGCATCTAACCTACAACATAATCCCCAGAGACATGATGCATTGGGGCCTGACATTTCTTCTCCCTTTTAACTTCTCCAGCAGTAAATTTGCATATGGAGGGATCTTTGTGAGATACTGTCCTTTAGTGATGAGAGCTTTTGCAGTTCCTCTGTCCCCTGGCTGCTAGGAATCACAATCAACTAGCTGAGAAACTCTGGTCTGTAAGTGAGGCATCATGTTTTCTGGAACGCTGACGTCCAGTATTGTTGTTATAGAGAGTTGACCACCTTCTGAAACAAGAGCGTCTCACGGATGCCTTGGCCCTAGCTTGGTCTTTTTATGAAGGTAAAGCAAAGGCTGTAGTAGGTAAGTTTTCTTTTTTATCGAAACCACAAGGAAAGCTTTTAAACCTGTATATGTGCTGAAATCACTGCTCTAGGAAAAATGGAAGGCAATTGTGAAGAAGAGAAAGTAGGGTGTGCTGCTTTGGGTTTGCCAGAAACAAGGCCCTTTAGATAGGTTGATTTAACTTTTTTACACTTGTGGCACTTTTAGACACCAGATATTTTTAAGGGGAAAAATCAGACCTGCTCTGTGTTTTGACATCTACCTGCTGTCACTTGACCACAAAAGAGATGGTGTCAAATAACTAGGATGCTAGAATATTCTGGTGGGCCATACATGACACCTGGCAGCAAGTAACTTTTGGTGGTTTTGACAAATAACTCACATTCTCAGCATTCTCAGGATAAGATCCTCTTGCTGTGAAATCATTAGTATATGAAGTTGTCTTTTTTTTTTTTTTTTTTTTAGCATATGGATATAATATTCTTTAGGTAGTTTTCAGCATGCGAAAGAATAACTTTATTTTTGACTTGGCATTTAAGAACTCTTCTCCCTTATAGTGTGCTAACTTCACAATAAAGAGTGGGCTGAAAATAATTAATAATGTCATGTATTTAGTTATCCTGACCTCTGCATCTCCAGGGCGATGGTGGTAGTAGCTTCTAAGTGGTGGGATTTATGATGTGGGATTTATGATATGACTTGAAGCTTAGATGACAAAAGACTTTTTTCCCCTCGGTCTTTGTAGGTTTGACTGGAGACACAAGCAAGCGGAAAGCAGTCATTGCAGACAGAGTGAGTCACTGATTTCTTCCTCATTGGGTTTTCATTTATCCTGTGTTAACAGTGTTTTAAAAACAAGTAGCTCCTGTCTTTCAGAACTTAGTCCAGCTGACTCCAGAAAGTGTATGCACTGCCTCACTTGTTAATATGGTGAGCATCATTTTAGCAGAGACTTGGAAATACCTTTCAGATAGAGGTGGGGATGAAATCTGCAGCATTAAGAAAACATGTGACATTAACCCCCAACACTTGAGATCTCACAGTCCTGTATAGAGGATAGAAACCTCTTTGGTAACCAACTTTGGAGTTTTCTGTCCTTTGGGTGATAAATGCCCATCAGTACACAGCATTCTGGCTGTTTTACATGTAAAATAACCTCTTGGGCTGTTTAGTCGCCACCAGAAGCCTTTTTTTTCCCCTGGAAAGGTATGTTTAAAATATGTAATTACTGCTATAATTGTTTGACCGTACTTTTTTCTTCATGCATGTTTTATTTGCAGGTAAATAAGTTTTGTTAAATTTTTACACTACAGCTTAAGCACTGGGTGAAAACATAGTCCAGATGTGGCTTGTGCTTTGGGATGTGTCCAGCTGCCTAAAAATTTGCTGTCAGACTGGCTGCCCAATGTTCACATTGGTTAAAATTAGTGTAGATCTGCCATATCCTCTGTGGTGATTAAGATTAATCGCCTCAGTGCCATGTCACTCACTTGTCCCTTGGCAGCTCTGTTCTGAGTGCTGTTTGTACCCTCTTCCCTCCTCTTCTCCCTCCTGCCCTTGATAGCTCATGCCCAGACCGGAGCAGCAGGGTTTGCAGCACTGCCAGTTCCAAAGTCAGACAGTCAAAATGTGCTAGTAGAGTCTGCAGTGTAGCATGAGTGTATTTTCTTGTTCCTTGTAACTCAGATGGTTGAAATCCTTCTCCATTATGCTGATCGGACTTTGAAGAAATGTCCTGACCAAGGAAAAATCCAGGTTATGGAGCAACATTTTCAGGTACGGTGCTTCAGACGACTCTGATGTAAGATCTTCTGAAGTTTGGAATCAAACTTTTGCTTTGTTGTGCAAGTTACTTGTGTGTTTTTGAAAGTACTTCACCATGTGCCTGCTTGCGTGTCATGAGCTGTCGTTGCCTTTGTAACTTCTGCTCAAGTTTGCCTTTAGAGCTCCTAAATTCTTAAAGATTGTCAAAAGCTTTTGAGCAGTGATGTAATTTTTTCTTCCCCCTGTTCTAGCTAGACAAGGTGGGGGGTGATGTAGCCAGTGATGACTTTGCACATGTTTCAGGATGCTCATGAGCCTTGAAGGTTTAAATTGCCATTGGCTACAACAACCCTTTGGAAGCTTAAATTGAATGGAAAGAAAATCAGAGTAAGCCGCCTTTCATCATTGCACCCAACCTGTTTCTTTAGACATGATGCTGAAAAATTGTTCTTTACTAAAACTGGGCTTGAAAGTTTCAATGCCCTCAGCAGAGGTCAAGTTTGTTCACAGAATTGGGTGGGACTAGATGTTGTTTTCCCTCACACCGTTGCTTTACCTGGACTGTTGGGTGCTGCAGCACCTTGAGGGGTGAAAGTTCTGCTGGTGCTTTTGCCTGGCAGGCCTGGCAAAGTGTTACTCTGTTAGCTGTAAGTGAAAAATGGGGAGAATCTTTCTAAGGAACAAAAAATAGGATGCCCCAAAGCCTTTACACAGAGCTGGGAGACACCTGCTCGTGCTGCTGCAGGTGGTGAATGGCAGTAAAGGAGTTCTCCCCATACCTCCTCGTGCTACTGCAGGTGGTGAATGGCAGTAAAGGAGGTAACTGTGGATGAGCTGCTGTTACCACCTTTTCTGTGCTCGTTCACGCAGATTCCTTTCGTGCTGTGGAGGATGATGTGCTATTTGGCAGGACCTTTGCCCGATCCTAATGCTGTGTTTTTTTTTTTTTTAAATGCTTTTTCCACAGGACATGGTGCCTGTCATAGTTGATTACTGTCTCTTACTCCAGCGCACGTAAGTCTGAGTTTGCAAACCTGTCTCCCAAGCAGGCCACTAATTCATGTAGTCCTGAGTGCTGGCTCCTTCACTATCACAGGCCATTAGGGTAGAGGAAGGCTTAAAAAAAATGGTACTGAATTCGGGGTATTTGGTGTTCCAAAGTGTCTCCTAAATTTTCACTGATCTATTGAGGAATAAAAGTTTGCATCAAACTCTTCCTCTTGGCATTCCTCTCAAAAAAGAATGTATTTTGATAGATGTTGTCCTCATCATTTCTTCTCTAACAGCAATTTATTTATTTATTTATTTGCTACAACAAATCCTGTGAAGCTGCATTTAACCTGCGTCAGTGTGGGAGCTGATCAGGACATGTGGCTACTGAGCTTAGAAGATAAGTTTAATTTGAAGCTCTTAAAAAAGCAAATAAGTAAAGAAGATTTCAGTATGAAGATTATTTGATAACTAAACACTGCTTTCCTTCCCAGGGATCTATTATTTAACCAGATATATGATAAGATGAGTGAGAATTCTGTAGCAAAAGGCATCTTTCTGGAGTGCTTGGAGCCCTACATCTTAAGTGATAAGCTGATGGGAATCACAGCTCAAGTGATGAAAGACTTGCTCCTTCATTTTCAAGACAAGAATAGACTGGAAAATATGGAAGCCTGCATTGTCCATATGGACATCACCAGCTTAGACATACAGCAGGTGAGCTGCTCCGCTAAATACCATGTTGAGTTCCTCTGAACAGGTGGCAACCTAGCCACTGATGCAAACCTCTTGTGCTTTTAAGCACAGCATAGCATGTCGATTCCTCTCTGGATCTTTTTGAGTTTTGAGTTGTTTGGATTTGTTTTCACATTATTTTGAGTGCCTGTGTCCAACCTGTTATGCACATGCTCCTGTAAACGTGTGCCACGCTGCCAGTTTGTGTCCCAAAATACATTTTTGCATCAACAGCCAGATATGCTAGAAAATACCAGCCAGAGTTAGCTTAAAGTTTTTCCTGTTTTCCATACTTAGCATCTAAAGCTGCAGGACACAAAGAAATAGAGTTGTCATTTCCAGTGCAGTACCTGCCCACCTGCTCTGTGCAGGTGCTTGCTCTAGCAGGACAAAAGCAGTGGAGCAGGTAAATGTTTTCCCCGGGCAGTCCTGTGTTCCTTGGCCAGCTGTTATCCTGCAGCCTGGCTTTCCACCCCGAGGAAGAAACTGCTTGCAAACTTGCCTAAATGATTCACTAGTCCAAGTCAAGGGTTTCGGAGAGAGTTCTTTTTATTTTGTAAATTCCTGCAGGCTATGAAGCCAAAATCTAGACATTTAGATTTCAGGTGTGCTGCGTGAGTAATGAGCCAGATATTCCCTCTAGGAATTTACGGGTTGTGTAGGGAGTATAGTTCTGCTAATGGAAATTCTCAGTTTGCTTTAAATTATCCTGTTGAATGATGCAAGTGCAAGAATAAAGATTTTATTTGAGAGAACAGGAACAAAGCAGTGGGCTAAGAAGAGCTGTAGATCTATACTGTGCTGTTTCCCTGCAGGTAGTTCTTCTGTGCTGGGAAAACCATCTCTACGATGCCATGATCTACGTGTACAACAGTGGGATGAACGACTTCATTAGTCCCATGGAGGTAGGAGAGAGGCTCATGTTGTGGTACCAAGTCAATCTTAAACCTTTCCTTCCCTAGGAGTTGCCACAATTTCTGTGGAACTTGGAGCTATTGCTGAATGCCTTGAGATGCTGCATGTGTGTTCAGCTAATGGCTTTTCTGAGCCTTAATTACACGTTGCCTTCTCAATCACTGTTTAAATGTTTGTTCTTTTGATTCTGAGGGGAAAATCATGTGTGACGTGTGAAGTTTATTTGCCTAGATGAAGAAGAGGACAAAAGTGATCTGTAATTGCTCTAGTCTTTACAACATGAGCTTCCTTTTGACAACCTGTCTAACAATGCTCTGCAAAGTTAGAGTAGGAAATTCTAAGTCCTTTTAACAGAAAATGTAAAATAAAACCAGCATAAGAGAATAACAGGTGATGGGTTGAGGACGCTGCATGGCCAAGTGTGTTAGAGTGTTTTGCTGATGGTGAGTGAGGCCTATGGTGCCTGATGTGCCGAGATGGGCTGAGCTTTCTGCACAAAGGGGTTAACACCAGTGTAGGAGTGAGATGTTCCATGAACATGTCATGCATTTTTTCATTCATGGAGTCCATCACCTGCTGGCACATGAGTGCATTAATACATACTGCAGAATAAAAGGACCAAAGGATGAACCTACCTGCTTACAGAACTTGGGGAAAAAAGCAGGGAGAGGCTGTTCCCACATGGAGGCAGGCTCCGTTCTTAGCACTTGTCCAAGTTACATCAGCAGTGTGAGTGCAAGGCTGCCTGCTGGGTTGTGACTGGAGGTCCTGGTGCTGCTGCTAAACCTGAAGATTGCACCAAATTCTCTTGAAGCTTAAAGCTATAATGTAAAAATGTTTCTCTCTGGAGGAACTGCTTGTGTTTTCATAACCATGCTAAATTGAGAGCTGTATCCTTTTGAATGTGAATCTTATTATAATAATATTACTATAGTATTATTATAATCCAATTTGTAGCAGTTCTAATCTCAGTTGATTTTAAAAAGACTTCTGGCAAGCTGGTGGGGCAACCACAGAGTTTCTGTGGGGATCCACTCCAGTGATCTCTGTTTTAAAACCAAGCAGAGTTTTCACAAGTGCTTGAGCCCTGCGCTATAGAGGTCACAAGTGGAAGGAGAAGAGGAATTCCCTCGGCCGACGTGCGCAGCGCTGCCTCCTCTGCGCACGGGGCTGAAGTGGGTTCACAAGCAGAAACAACTTTATTCTCCTTGTTGTTACAGAAACTGTTCAAAGTCATTGCTCCTCCGCTGAATGCTGGCAAGTCTCTCTCAGGTACGAGTTTCTTTCCTTTTAATTTTGATGTTTCAGACATCCCTGGTCTCTTCCAACAAAGGGAGGTGAAAGGGAAATATGTATCCCAAATATAAAGGTCTTACAAGTGCTGGAGCACTTTCATTGTGTGTAAAACAAGTTGCATAAGATGTTTTGCTAACAGTTGTGGAAAAGGATTGTATCTCTGTCTGTTGTCTTGTGAAGAAAATGTGATAAAGGATTTTTGTTTTGTAGATGAGCAGGTGGTCATGGGCAACAAGCTGCTTGTGTATATAAGGTAGGGTACTTCAGCAAGTCTGTGTGTGTGCCTGTGCGTGTGTTTGTGTAGTTGCCCAGGGGTGGCATCAGATTTTAATACGCGCTAGTTGCAAAAGCGTACAGCATGTTTTAAGGAATCAGAGAGTATGTAAAATACAATGGCTACTTGTACAACCGACTGAATGAGGCAGTGGTTTGTTGTTATACATCGTGTGAGTGGATAGGCAAAAAAAACTTGGGTACTCGTAGCTGTGATAAGAAACTTGGGTACTCGTAGCAGTGGTTGCAGCTGATTTCCCAAGACCATGTTTTTCTCTTTGGAATTTGATTAGAGTGTGTTCTCTCTCCTAATCTGCAACACAGAGCTCCTTGTCTAGGAACTTAGTCATGTGAAAAGCTGTACTTTTTACAATTCATTCAACTTGTTTTAAAACCATCCTAAACACTAGCAAAAAAACCTGTTTGCTTCAATCCATTCAATGTCAGATGATTGTAAAAAAAAATGCCTCTCGCCGGCTTGTTCGCAGCTGCTGCCTCGCAGGCCGTGCGTACCCTCTGGGGGATATTCCTGAAGATCTGGTACCTTTGGTTAAAAATCAGGTGAGCAAACCTTTGGAAGGACGCTGTCACATCGGAGGCTTTTGCAAGAAAACCCTGTGTGTTTTATTTCATGGTTTCTTGTAGAAGACTTAACAATCTCATAGCTATATCCTTGCAATATGAATATCTGCCTCTGCAAATATCAAAGAAATATTTTGAAAATGAAATCAAGTGGTTGTTGCCATGTGTACATTTTAGCTTAATATTTTTCCTTCGTGTGTAAATTGGGGAGTGGGAGGGCACAGATTTTGATTTTTTTCTTTTTGGCAACTTTACCACAAAATTGCTAGAAATGCATTGCTGTCTACTCTTTTGAAACTTGATTACATACAGTGCATCAAATGTGGGAGTGTATTCTGTATTCTCAAATGTTTTAGGCAAGGTTAACAGAGTAAAATCTGAAACAACATCCAAAAACCCAGCGTTTAAATATTCCTTCTACTGCTTGACTGTTGCTATAATATCAGTTTGTGTTGGACAGATAAGTAATATCAGATACTCCCCAGATCTCTGCTGCAAACCTCTTGGTAGCAGGTTTCTCTGAGGTTTTTGATTTCTTGGTTATAATTGTATTAGTGTGCATTTGTGCTCGTCTCTGCTCGTCGACACCTTGTGCCTCATCACACACTGCATGTGACTGTGGTTGCTTTCGATCCCTCAGGCTCGAGCACTGGGTGCCAGGTGATTTACACAGTCATTTCTTTCCTAGAGATATCTGTTATTTGGGTTTGATCACTTTTTCTGTGACTGTATCTTTGATGTGGGAATAGCCTGGACTGTGTCCACTGGGATCCTTCTTGCTTTCCATCGATCTGAGGGCCCTTAAGCATTTTTGAGGCTGGATTAGCTCTCCTCCTTCCATCCAAGAGGACTCATCAGCCTTCACGGATCATTCATTGGTCTGAAATTCATTGGTGAATTTTAAGGGGAAGATTTTTTGGCTACCAATAAGGATCACTGAAGTTAGAACGCTGATGAACTCTGGAGGTGTTTTAAAGCTTAGTACAAAACAGGTCATGATGTGCTTTTCCATGTGGCTGTGCTCTTGGTTACCTGAAATCTGTAGAAAATCTGCAATGTTTCTCTGATTGTTCATGGTAGGTCTTTGAATTTCTCATCCGGCTGCATTCCGCGGAGGGGTCTGTGGATGAAGAGGTCTATCCTTACGTTCGCACCTTGCTGCACTTCGACACTCGGGAATTCCTTAATGTTCTTGCTCTGGTAAGAGGCTATGAAACTCCTCCAAGAGAAAAATGCAACACTAGTTGCTCCACCAGTATGGTAGGGTTGTATGACCCCCAGGATGCCTTTAAAGGTGCCTTTAAAGATGCCTTTAAAATTGACTTTGTGACCTTATAAAGTCAGTGATACAAATTGATGAACATGTGACATTTTGCAGTAGAATGCACTTTTAACAGAGGCCGTCTTTAAAAGCACAGACAAAACAAAAAAGTGCTTTAAAACCTACATCTCTCCCCTGCCTAAAGAGTCATGTTCCTTTCTTTCCTTCCAAGTTTCTTTGGATTTCCTATCTATTCGGGATCTGTTACCTTTACCTGGATGTGTAAGAACTGGTAGTTACAAAATAAAGAGTCATCTTCCTTTCTTTCCTTCCAAGTTTCTTCAGTTTTTCCTATCTATTTGGGATCTGTTACCTTTACTTGGATGTGTAAGAACTGGTAGTTACAAAAGAGCAGATTGTTATCTTGGAACCTGGTGCTTGGGTAATATGTCTTGTGATATGGCTGCTCATACACGTTTGCTTTGTTTCTGGAGCTGGGAGTGGTTGGCATTCTCCTCCAAGTGCCCGTGTTTTGCCTTCTGCAGACTTTTGAAGATTTCAAGAATGACAAGCAAGCTGTGGAGTATCAACAGAGAATTGTGGACATACTTCTGAAAGTGAGTGTGCTGAAAAGTTGACCTCTGTGTACATGTCTGCCTGTGATTCAGTATGACGCTGTGCAGTAAAGCCTGTGCTTTAGGTGAGGTGTTTCCAGCCCTGCGCTGGATGACACCTCTGAGAAGACATCCTGGAGCTGGATTCACCTCAGCCCAGGTGCATATCTAGAAGTGGTGCTTCATGCACAGAGATAGCAAGGTCTCCATTTTTGCAGTTTCACCTGCTTTGTACTTGGATGTCAAACTCCTCCTTTCTGCACTATTAAGTCTGTTTTTTTCCTGCTCCTCATCCATTCTTCTCCTTCCATCTTAGCACAAAATCCTCCTGGGAGTCTAGTACTTGGCAGGGTGCCAGAGCTCTTCTGCTAAAACCCTGCTCCCTCTTCTGTAAATGCTGTGTTTGGGATGTACCATACCCACAATGACAGGGCTATCTTTAGTCGGTGGGAGAGAAGAAGAGTGTCAGAGCTGTCAGCCCGGTGCTCTAGAAATCACTTGTCATTTGCAGACCATGTTCCTGAACAGTGTTCTCATTAAAAGTTCTTGCTGCCAAGTGCCGTTTGCCTTCCTCTTCAAAGCTGTCAGCATTAATGATGAGTAACTCCACTTGGAAGCTGTTTGTGTATAAACATATCATAAGCAGTGTTCCCCTGTCACTGTCATCACTGATAGATGAGAGCAAGGGCATGAGTGAGCAAATTTGGTGACAGAGCCGCTGCGGTGGAGGGCTGAGAAAATGCCACTGTGGGGGGACTTCAGCGAGGGTGGCTGAGTCGGGCGTTGCTGCACGATGCTGCTTAACCCTGCGCTGGGTTAGCCCGTGCTTGCTGCATCCATAAGGGCAGCGGCCACCCTGCTGTTCTGCAGGCTGCTTTCCTGTGCCACGCTGAGCTCGGACCTGTTTGCAGAGCTGCTTTGTGCACAGCAAGCAAGTTGTGTCCACCCGCAACGAATTTGGAGGGCAGAAAGGATAGCGACGGTGAGAAATGCTGCAGGCTTAGAGGTAGCTGCAGGCAAAGCATTCAGTGCTGTGAGAATTCTCACCCCTTGGCCTAGAGTCTGCTTCTTTTTGAATAAAAAATAAAAATCTTGCAGCTTTTAAAATAAAAGAAACCATCATCAGCAAGAAAAGTGCTTCGAAAATAGCCATGCACTTGGGTGATGTAGACCTTCCAGGGGGATTTTACATTCTCTGAGTGTTTGGGAGTAATTTGTTGATTTTTTATTTTATTTAGAGGCTTAAGACACCGAGTCAGAACACATCATACCTCTTTGGGTTTCAGACTTCTTTTGTTGTAACTCTTAGGTATTCAGGTTTTCTGTAATTTGAAGTCAAGTCAGCATAGCTACAGGTTTCTCAAACTATTCATAGACTTGCAGCTAATTTAATGTGAGAAAAAATGTTTTCCCCGACCCACAGTTTTTACTTAGTCATTTGATCAGCATTTCTCGCATGCCACAGTTGAAGCGATGAGTGCCCGGCGCTCGAGGCCAGGGGCGTTTTTTCCTCCCACAGTCGTTCATTTTGACTTTTTTCCTCATGTGATGGAGTTTCTCTGCTCAGGAGCCCTGTTGCATGTCCAGGTGTCAACACAGATTACAGAGATGGAGATAAACAGAGGTTTTCTCACCGCTGTTTGGACCCCTTTTTACTCCCCCAAATCAGGTACTCGTGAGAACACCTTTATTTCAGGGCAGAGAAACTCTTCTCTTCTTCCTCCGTGTCTTCAGGCCAAACAGAGACGAATCCCAGAGAGAGTGGCTCTTATTTTGACCTCCAGAATGGACTTGCTGGAGATTGTGTGGGTGTCTGCGGTGGGAGGAGGCATGGTGGCTATACAGGGGATTTCTTATTGCAGCCTCCTGATGGATATCCCAAAGGCAGCTGCAGAATGATTCGCTTCTTGGTTTTTTTATTATTATTATTTCTCTCCTCTTTTTCCTAATGCTTCACAGGTCATGGTAGAGAATTCTGACTTCACCCCATCGCAGGTTGGGTGTCTCTTTACCTTCCTTGCCCGTCAGCTCGCCAAGCCCAACAACACGTTGTTTGTGAACAGGACCCTTTTTGACCAGGCAAGTACTCCGTTTTTAGGAACAGAGAAAGATCTAATAAGTGCTGTGCCACAGAAAACATGGCTGGTGCCATAAAGTGAAGGAATTCTGAAAGAACCATTGCATTATACAACAGGTAGCATCCTGCTAGGCCTGTTAGAACTGTGTGAGAATGGGGCAAATGTCCATTAAAACACTTCTCCTTGGAAAGACATGTTCTCCTAGTCACTCCTGTCAGCAGGTTGACCCGTTTCCCTTTCCAGAATCTTTCAGGACCTCTTGTTTATCTCATTATTAGATATCCTTAGTTACAGAATTTGATAGAGAACACTTTGTTGAGTAGTTTGTTCAAACTGTGCACTCATGTTCTGATTTCCTCCTGTTGTGGTTGGTGCTCGCAACTCACTTGCTCCAGACACCTCTGGGTGCTTTTGTACTTGATGATGAAGAGGTGGTTTGCATAGTTTGCCTGTCTATTTTATTTGAGCGCACTGAACTCTTCTGTTTGGGATTTTCTACTTATACTACAACAAAGGGTTAATTAAAGCTCATGGGTTTAGAATAATGGCTATGCTAAGCAGGCCTAACTCATGCAAACTTCTCCTTTCTTGGCCAGGTCCTTGAGTTCCTGTGCAGTCCTGATGATGACTCCCGCCATTCCGAGAGGCAACAGGTAAGGGCCTAGGAGGGAAGGTTTCTTTAAGCATGAGGAATGAACAGACTCCAGAGCTGAGTTCAGCCTTGGTGGGGAATGGGTGCTGGCTGAAAGGTTCAGTGAAGGCTGGGTGCCAAAGCAGTCACCTGGTATAGGAGTGTTGGTCAGCATGGAAAACTTGGACACAAGGATCCTGCCGGCCTTCATAGTGGACAAAGGACTAAGTAAAATAATCCCCATGTTGATACAGAGTTCTTTGGAGCTGGAGCACTGTGCTCAGCAACAACATTGGCTGCAGTCCAGGTCTCAGTATAATTAACTGTTTTTCAACATCTACAGGTCCTTTTAGAATTGCTTCAGGCAGGAGGGATCGTGCAGTTCGAAGAGAACCGCCTTATCCAAATGGCAGAGAAGGCTGAATTGTAAGTTGTGTGTGTGCACAGCACACAAACATTACCTTTAAAAGCTCTTCCAAAGCTTTCTCCCCCAGTTACTCTGTTTCAATTTTGCAGCTCTGATTTGCATTATTTTCCCCATGCATTCATGTGCTTCTGATTTATCAGTTCACACTTAATCGCACAGTTCACATTAATCAGGCTCTCTCTCCTATCTCCCTGGGTATTCACACCTCCTCTTACCTTAACAATACTTGTGTAGCAACGTGGCATCCGTTCAGCGTGGATCTTGGTGGAGCTTGATGAGCTTTGGCACTTCCCATCCTAGAGCCAAGGCTTTGCTCCAAGGTGTAGTTGTATTTTTGAATGCTCTGCTACTGACAGATGGAGAGGACAGGCCGGGGTGAGGCCAGCAGGTGGATTTATAAGCACGCTAGGGTCTGGAGCCACCCCCGTGCAACTTGTTTTAGAATTAAGTAGGAGAGACAAACGCAGTGTCTGGAAAGGCTGAAAATTTCCACCATCTCTTTTAGCTGCTTTACCTTTCTGCAGTGTCTGGTGTGCCTGGATTGAGTTAGGGTATTTTTATCCAAATCTTGAATTTGGATGTTGTGTGAATCCACCGTGTTACAGAGGACCAGAGGGATAGAAGTGAGAAGGTGGGATGTGCCCTGCCTGGTTTCTTGTCTCCCCTGGAAGGAATTACTCGACCAAGTTTTTCAGCCCCAATGTGCCTTAGAACGGTAGCACATGCACCTGAGAAGCAGTCACAAGCAAGCTGATCCTGTGTGTATCCATGTGGATTTTTTTTCTCCTTGCCTGAGAGTGTATCACGGACAGTGCCACCAGTTCAGTCATCCTTGTCAAAGCGAGAAGATTGGTGGTGTGAAGTTTTAGCAGATTTGGGGCTTGTTTTGCTTCAGTTGCACACTGTTTTAATCTGATATCTTCCTGTCTCAGAATGTTATAGATGTTTATTAAAAATTGAAGCTAACTTACTGTGTCATAGCACACTACTGAGATGCATTTGGTGTATTTTTGGAGCAAGTAATGTACGTTGGCCTAGCTCCGAGCGAACTGTGTTATGGAAATAAGCACAATGATCTGTGAACCAGTGGAAGCCGATTTCTTTAGAGATTTCTGTCATCTGTCCCTTGCCTCTCTCCTTAATAACACGGAAGTCTTTTTGTTCTGCACGACAAGTCACCAGAAGGAGGAAGGTCTGTGGTTGGCCTGTGGCTGCTATTAACTGGCGCGTGTAAATTGGAGCCCTCAGAGAGATGCTCATGTGGGGAGGAAAACTCCTGTATTAACGTGTGTGATTTTTACAAAAGTAAAAGCCTTAACATAAGACGCTTGTGAATGTTTTTGCGAAACATACTGTATTTTGTCTCAGGTGCTGGTCTTTCAGCAGCAATTACTGAGTTAAATCTTCTGATCCTTTCTGAAACTAATGGATGGTGGGGGAAGCATTGTAAAGATGGTGATTAGAGATGAGAGAACTAGAAGGTGCCCAGAAGCTGTGAAATTGGTTCTAGAAGAGCTACCGTGGAGGAATGGTCCTTTGGGGTTTGTGTACATCTCCTGGGGCATCGCAGGCAGCTGTCCTGCCAACCTGTGTGCTTGCATTCTGCTGAGCTGACTTGCTCAAGTGTGTTTTCCCTAACGTCAAAAGTATGTTTTTCATTTCAGCTATCAGATTTGTGAGTTCATGTACGAACGAGAGCTTCGCTATGACAAAATCATTGACTGTTACCTGCGTGATCCAGTGAGAAAGGTGAGTACATTTGGTGCTTCTGACCTTCTTTCTTCACAGCAGTGCAGCCTGTCCTGCTGGTAACAGTGTGAACAGGCACAGCAGCCTCTGTCTTAGTTTTCTGTCTTAAAACAGTCCTCTACTTCAGATGCCCTTTCTTAGCTATAGTCAGGACTTTTGTGAGTGCGTGTGAAATGCCATTATAAAATCTAATGATGTTAACTGGGGTGCAGAGCATATGATACCATTGATGTTTTTATGCTTTACAGGAAGAAGTTTTCAACTACATCCACAACATCCTCTCCATGCCTGGGTACAGTACTGAAGAGAAGCAGTCCGTGTGGCAGAAGGCTTTGGACCATATGGAGGTACAGTGTGGAATAAGCCCATCACATCTGAGCTCCTGTTAACTCTTCCTGCGTCTGCCTTGTGCTGCTCTGTAAGCAGCAGTGTCATTGTGTTGAATGGCAGCTGTTTGGTAAGCCTGAAGAGGAGGAGATTTTGGTACTGTGACAAAGTTGAAAATAGCTACAAAACACATGTGTGTTTCAGGATCTGCTTTGTAGGGGAGCCTACAAAAAGCTTTGCTGAAGATGATGGTTGTGCTTTGTCCAAATAAACCTAGCTCATTACCGTCTTCAGAGCAATTGTGGTCACATGCTGGCCTTTCCGAGTGCAGCAAATTGTGTTCTCCTCTTTGCTGCTTCCTTATGTGTCTCTGGTTCTTCTCTCCTGCTGCATACATTTGCCTCTGCTTGTATTGAAATATGCAGCTCACATTGGTTGGCCTAATGGATGGGCAAGTCTCATTTCGTGTGGCCTTTACCTTGTGTCTTTATTGAGTCACAGGTATGTCTCCTTGCTGGGTATCTTCAGCCTGAGGCTTTTGACAGTTCCTGTTCTGAGCTTTGGTGTCTGCAGATCAGAAATGCCCTGGGTTGCCCTTCCCGATGTCTCTCGTTGCGTTGTGCAGGTTTTGATAAGGTTGTCATAGGCTGAGACTGACAACTTTGCATATTGTGTTGACTGTTTTTGTTTCCTCAGGCTGGTGGAGCCATTTCTTGAATATTGTGGATTGTCACAAGTGCCCAGCATCCACCTTCTCAGAGCTACATATATTTCTGACTTTGGCAAGCAATGGAAAAATCTTCCTCTCAACCATGTTGAGAGGAATCGACCATGTTGTCCATGGTTATCCCTACATGTAGGATTTCTTACACTGTTTCAACCTGTCTGCTGACAGGGGCCTGCTGCTTTTATCTGCACTACTTTTTGCAGCTTCCCTGAAAAACTCGTGGGAAGATGACCAGTTGTGCCGGTTGCCTTTCTCAGATGCTGTCACTGAGATGAACTTCGTCTTTCCTTTTGGAATTATCCCTTTTCCAGAATGAACAGTGTGTGCAACATTGCATGGCTTAGCAGCTCCCTGACTGCCCTGGGCTTTTGCTCTTTTCCATATATTAATCCTGCTCTCAAAATTTCATAATATTGTCAAGGTCACCACAGATCCAGGAGTGTGGCAGTTGCAGGGAGACTGACCCATCTAACTCCAACCACTATCCAGATGATAAATTAAAGACTTTTGGCTAAGCCCTTCAGCTTGGAAAAGAGCAGTAACTTTCTGCCTTGTTGCTTCTTGGCTTCCCCGGTCTGTGCTGGTATCTGCTGAATTGGTGGCTGCTGCATCTGTTAGGAGACCCAAGTTACTGCTAAGTAACTATTCCAGAGTTTCTTTTTTTTTTTTTTTCCCCAGGTGTGTGTTTATGAAACTTTTCTTTGTGTCTCACCTCTTTGCAAGGCTTTCTCCTTTGTAGGCCTAGCAGGGGGGCTGGGAAGGGTTATCATTTACCAAAAATCTCTTTGAAGCAGTTGCTTCTCAATTATGGCTTCTCAATTGAAAATCTGAAAGCATTAGGAGGCCAAAACTCATATTCTCAGTCCTGTGAACTTGTATAATCTTGTAAGATCTTTCAGATCAAGCTTGGCAGGAGACAAACAACAGGCATCTTAAAGCTTTTTTTTTTTTTTTTTTTTTTTTTGTCCTTTTACTAGCAGATAAAATATTCCAGGGCTTTTTTTCTGTTCTGGGCAGATAACAGGGGCATTCACAATTGCAGGAAACTTGCTTCTGAGCCTCTGGTTACAGTCTAGTTCAGGCTAGTGCTATTTAAAAACTATTTCTGTTTGCCTGAGAAATGCCCTGTAGAGTCAGCTGGTAGCTTTGCTTCCTCTTTAGTGCTGGAACTCTTCCAGCTGGCACTAGCTGGACTTGTCAGCACAGAGCAAAGGACTGTTGTCAGAAAAGCTCATGAAATCATTTGCTGGCCTTAGAACAGAGCTGCTGCCTGACTGGTGTGAAGTTTTGCATCCTTTCTATTGCAGACTTCAATCACTGACTTTTGAAAGTGTTTTTCTGAATAACTTTCCTTATTATTTTCAAACTCCTTTTTGGGCAGTGGTATTCATTATCTTAAAGCTTTCATCTAGGTGCAGCTGCAGTTACAATATGAATGGACTCAGTGTTGCTGCATAATTACATTGCCTATAAAACCAAAGATGACTATTTCTGTTGTGATTCCCTCTCCAAAGGAGCTGCTGTTGCTGAGCCCCTGTAAAGCAGCCGACCTGGTGGCCATTCACTTCAGCGAGCAGATTGAGCAAATCATTGCCAACCTTCAGGTAAAACACCACAGGTTTTTGCCAGGGCTGCTTTGCAATGGGGTTGCTATGCCTGTAAGAAACATGTGATGCCCTTTGGGACAGTCATTCTCATTCTGGATTGCTAAGAGTCTTTTTTTTTTTTCACTCAGTCATAAAATAGCTTTGTAGCTCTTCAACCTCAGGAATTACTGCATTAAATTATTTGGCCTCTTTGCAACTCTCTGGCCATAAAAATTTGCAAGCACTGAGATGCTAATTGCACCACTTGCCAGCACAGCTTTCAGTTTGGAGTCCAGCGTGGCTCACGCCCAGGGGGACCTGAGGTCAGCAAATGTATTCTCAAAGGAAGTGGTGTAGAAGGGTTTAGTCAAGAAAAATGCCTAAACCAGCCTCGTGAGTTGCCAGCCATGAACTGTATTTCCTACAATAGACACACCCCAGTATAAGTCACTCTGGTTTATAGCACATGAAGTAATAATACTTCATCTTCTCCTCTTATGTAGGACCAGTTTTTACTCTTCCAGTTTCTGAGGAGTCTCCTTGACCCAAGGTACGTAAGAAAATTGGAACATTTACAACCTATTGCTTTAAAACCCCAGTTAAATATATTCCTCTGAAACAGTGAATCAGTATGTGCTCTACCTGCAGTTTTAGGGCCTCGAAAAGGAGCCTTGCCCTTCACCGTGCCCACAAAAAGGAAAAAATACCGTTGTTCCGTGGGGTGTTCTGCAGCAGAGCCCACGTCTGGTTTCCCAGCTGGGAAGCGGAGTGGGTTCCAGGAAGGGCAGCGTGACGCTTCCCCCACGCCGTGGGAGTTTGGGCGCTGCTCAGCAGCCCTTTTGGGAAGGCTGACAAGTGGTTACCCTGGGACTGAACTGCTGTGTCTGTTCTCAGGCACCCACGGCTTTAATTACTTCGACACGGTGCCCATAATTTAACATAAATAGTAAAGATGCTTTGGTCTATTGGCATTTTTCATTTAGATCTAATTTCAGCTTTGCTGCCGTATTTCATTGCAAACTTCTTTTTTTTTTTTCTCCATCTGCTCCTGTTCTTTCAGCATTTTAGCACCGAGTGTTCTCTTTCCGTTGCATCCATTTCAGATGCTACAAGCTCTTGATTTTACTTATTTATTTCTTAAGACACTTGTATTTGCGCAGCTCCAGTTGCCTTCTAGCAAGTGCTAATGCGATGCACTTCAACATTTTTGGGAGAGATCTTGTTTTATCAATTAGCTACAAATTAATTACAGTGCTTTGTCAGGGGGAGAATTAAGAAAAGATAATGTTATCTAAATTCCAGTGCCAGTGTTTTGGTTCTTACTTGAATGGAATGAAAAAACATGTTTTGGAAGCTAGAACTTGGAAATAGTTATTTTTTAACTCTTTTTGATATTGTTAGGCTATAAATAATAGTAACAAAATATGAAAAGACTTACCTTGCTCTTTCAGAAGTTTTAAAATCATGCTACGTTTTAGAGGTTAGCTCCCACACCTATCATGTTTCTTACAAGTCAAAATACTAAATCCGAACTTTGACAAGAAAATACATTGGTTGGGTTTTAAAGGTAAAGATTTAGTTAAGCAGAAATTGCATCAAGCTGCAAGTTTGGTGCTGTGTTTATGCCATGATATCACTTCATTTACAGCAAGACAGTTCCAAAGTCCAATAATTCTTGGCACTGCAGTAGGATTTTTCAGCATCCCAAGCAGGGCAGGTAACTGACTGGACTGCAGATACCAGACTACTCAATAAATAGAAGATAAGCGGGATTTTATGCAGAAAAATGAACAAAATAGCACTGAATAGTTCAGATTCATTCGTGCAGTGACTGACCTTAAAGCGAAGTGCCAAGGTTTATCCTATCAGAATTAAGCAGTTGCTGGGAAGAAATGCTCTGTAGAGGTGCTAGATCACTGGAGTGATTTTGTGTGTGTGTGACATTCAAGGTCCTATGGGCTGTTATCAGTGCAATAAGGTTGTTGCCTTCTAAGATTCATCAAAATGAGCTGAGCAATATCCTGAGGGAGGGAGGGAAAATTCTTACTGTGCAAGACCTAATCTGCAGACGTGCCTGTGCTTTGGAGTACATCCATACATAGAATTGATGAGGTTTTTCTGAACGCATCTGTCTCATCAATTGAAATGTTTATAGTATTTTTTTTTCTGAGCAAAATTCTTATTAAAAGAGAGACCCTTGGTAGAGCAAATGAGCTTTTACTGTCTCAGATACGAGGGATTGCTTGGTCATATGACTGTGACTCATCGTGCTCGTGTAACTGCGCCGAGTTGGTGGAATGGTATTAGGGATTTATTTGGCCTATTTAATTTAGCTGGAGATTTATTTTAAAGGAGTCAGCAAGAGGTGAAGGCGGAGAGGGGGGAAGGAAGAGAAGGGAGCGGGGTTAATAGAAACTGCCTGGGGAAATTAAAACCAAATGTCCCTACATCCATATCTTATAAACAGCCATTGAAAACAGACTGTAGTGTATGCCTAGGCATGTGTAACATACTATGTAAATGAACTATTTATCGTAGCTTTTGATTTGCTTTCTTTTTTTAATCTCATTCTAAGATTTTTTTCCTCTGTAAATAAATGCCTCGATACATGCATCATACCCACAATATTAACATATATAATGAGAAGTCAGTAGTGATTTCTTCCTGCCTGAACACAGTGTGCAGATGATGGTGGGGAAGATTTGGCGTGGCTGTGTTGAAGAGATCTTGATCACACTGAACTGAGCAGGATCTGCAAGTCTTAAGGCTGCTAGTTTCTGACATTATCAAATTCTGATTTCTTTAGACATTTGGGTTCTTTACTTGATGTCAGAACACAGCAGTTTGAATACTATTTTTTCTGTGCAGTTGTGTCCATCCTTTAGATGCTGTGGTTGGTCCTTGTGAGACTTTCATTTCTAGGCAAATATCATTTATAATCAGCCAATTCACACTGTACTCATGATAAGCTGCTTATGGAGTGTGCCAGGGACTCAGTGCTCCGCTGGCCTTCAGTGGGTAATAATCCTGGTAGCTTCGGTAGCTCCCAGAAGACGATCGGGTCAGGTTGTGTGTTAGACCTCTTCCATCCCAAGGCTGTAGGGTTTTCCCGTCACCACATCCCCTCCCAATTAGAAATTTCTGTCCGGAAAGGTAACAGAACTATATAAACACTTCTGTGTTTCTTACAGAAGATAAAGTTTTGCTGTTTCTCTGCACAATCTGAAAGGAGGTTGTAGAGAGGCAGATGTTCTATCTATTCTGGAGAAGAGATTGACAAGAGGAAATGGCCTCAAGTTGTGCCAGGGGAGGTTCAGGTTAGAAGAATTTCTACATTAGGAAGAATTTCTACATGGAAAGAGGGGTCAAACATTGGAACAGGCTGCACAGGAAAGTGGTGGAGTCGCTGTCCCTGGCGGTGTTCAAGAAACGTGTGGATGAGGCGCATAGGGACAGAGTTTAGTTTATGGTTGGACTCGATGATCTTGAAGGCCTTTTCCAACCATAATGATTCTATAAATCTATGATCTGCAGTGGAAAAGAACTGGAAGAATCCTTTTTAGAAGGGCGTCTTTATTAAAAGTGATTATTATTTGTAGCCCAAAATCAGACAGGAGCTCCCAGTCTGGCCTTCGGAACAGCTCGTGCCAGGTAGCATCACCCATGGCCCTAAAGAGAAGAGCGGCCTGCCTCCCTGCCGTGCCCGCGCGCGGAGGGCCCCACCGCGGTGGCAGCATCGCTTGTGTCAAACCAGAGCAGGTCAAGGAGACGGCAAGGGCTGGAAACGCAGCCGAAACCAGAGGCTTCCCTCCCCATACTTGAATGAGCAGCTGATGTGATGGGAGAGGAACAGATGTGTTTAATTCCAGCTGGAAATAGAGGGTTCCATGGCACAGCTGGTTATGAGCCCTGGAGAGAGGATGCAGCCTCGGGCTTGGTGCTGAGCAATCTGCAGCCCTTGCCTCAAACCCTTACAACTGCAGATCTGCTCTTCTGGTGACCGTGACGTGCCCAGAGTCACGGTCTCTGCAAGAGCTGAAAATACTGCACCCCAGTTTTGTTCAGTTTGAGGACAGCAACTAAATAATTGAGTATCTCTCTCTCTTTGCCCTCCTTCTTTTTTTTCCCCCTATATTAAGCACAAAAGGCAATGCAGAACTCTGTTAGAAACTCCAGTTTTCAGCCAGCCTTCTGGACTAGAGTTTGACATGGGTCTCCTGTGCCTTTTGTATTCCAGAGAAGGCATCAATCAGGACCTGATACGTTTACCACCCTACGTCACTGAGCAGTTCATTGAGCTGCTGTGTCGCTACAGGCCAGAGCAGGTTTTGGAGACACTGAAAGTTCTGGAATACTGCAGGCTGGAAGAAGCCATCCAGGTAGGAGAGAGATGGATGAGGACAGAGGCTGGGGAAAACCTTTGCATCACGTCTGCAAAATTTTTGATTAATAGTCTGTCCTGGATCTCAATTTGTATATGTATTTTTAAGATTTTGATTTTGGTAGTAGCAATAGTGTGATTTTAGAAACAAGTGCAATATAGCCTGTGTTGGGGAAAAGTGGGAATGCTCAAGCTGGGCAATATGCCTGCTGACACATGGAGACCAAATCCTCTCTGACCATCCAGTTGTTGTTGTCTTATCAGGTAATAGAAATTCCCTTTTTATTTTAACCCAGATAACACAGAAACATCAGCTCCATGAAGCGTCCTCATATCTACTGGAGAAGAAGGGGGATATCCATGGTGCCTTTCTGGTTATGCTTGAGGTATGGTGCACAGATCCTGACTGTGGCATTTTTGCTGGGCGCCTCATCAACTTGTGTTAAGGTTTGATATTGTCACTGCTGCTCAGTTTGTTCCCCACTGGAATGCATGGAAGCATTCACCTTCTGTCAGAGAGCAGCGCTTCGCTTGGCTGCAAGCTCAGCATCTCATATATCTCATCTGGCGAGTCTTGAAGATTGCCTTCCTGAACATAACAGATAAATACTGAAACTTATTATTCTTCAAACAAAGTCATTTTTGAGCTTTTGTTTTCCATATTGGGAAAGGAATTTGTATTATGTTAGTCATAGTGGGAGAGAGCATGAGGGTGGGCCTTTGCGAGCGTGTCTTTTAACAACACAGCAGAATTCTTTGAGTTTGATGTAGATTCTCTCTTTTGTTATAGCAATTGCAGAGCAAGTTGCTGATGCTTACGAAAGCCGATGAAAGTAAGAGTTATCAATTTAGAATCATTTTCTGTCAAAGAGAGGCAGACAAATGCAAGAATGTAAAATGTGTATGCTTGACACCTGGCATAATGAGATCCTCTTTCATGTTCAGGTTTCCAGGTGTTACGGTGACTTTTCTGTATTCGCGTGGCAGTGGTAGTTATTGTGATGGGATTTCCTAACTTTGCTATTCAGATCCCTAGAAGAACTTGCAAACAACTTTTGTGGTGGATTTTCTGTGTTTGGTCACCTGCTTTGTTAGCTCTTTTGGTTGTGAATGTCCCTGGTTTACAAGAAATGTTTTCCTTGTTAAAAATCCATTCAGACTCATTACAGAACTGCATTAATCATTATGTGTGGACAGTGATGATAGGCATCTGAAAGTAGCTTTTCTGAAGCAAAATTTCTCAGAAAAATTAGGCTTTTTCACATACAGAAAATGAATGTATGCATGCCTGCACCATTAGCTAGCCCCAGCACTGAAGGGCATCTAATGAAAAGCAGAGCTCGTATTTGTTGCTTAGTTATTTCCTAAACCACAACTAAAATCTTCCATGTTAGATTCTATGAAATGCTTTATTGGCCAAATTTATTCTGCTATTCAGGAAAAATGACAAAAATCAGGACCTGTCTTTGTAGTGTAGTTTCATGTTATACAGAACAGATGTTAAATGAAAAGCATGAGTTTATTTTGCAGGTCAATTGGGAGTAAGCATAGCTAACATATCTAATTATATTTATACTTATAATGTGTTTCTCCCCCCAAAAATAGGTTCCACTGAGCTACTAGAAAATATTGAAGATACTTTAATGAAAACAATTGCTCTTTGCCAGAGGAATTCACACAGTTTAGACCAGCAGCAGCGAGAGGTGAGGAATTAACAAGCTCATCGCTAGAACTGGTGAAGAACTTCATCCCTAGAAATGTGTCCTCTCAGGCCCCTTCCTTTCCCTGCCTCTCAGATCCTGATGCATCTCAAGCAGTCTTTGTGTTGCTCTGCCTCCTACCCTTCCTGTGTGCTGCTGAAGATGCAGCATGCCTGGAAGTCAAAAAAACCTGTAACTTCTTCTGAGTACTGTCCAGTGTGCACGTTGACCAGCTCAGGTTCTCCTCTGAGGGTTGTGCTGTGCTGCAGACAGCTGCTGTGTTTTAGAGAGGAGGTCAAGTGGTATGTTGATGTAAAATATGGTCGAGTTAGACTGAAGGCACGTCCAGGAATGCTTTGAGACTTTTAACATGCTTCAGGTGTTTTCTACTGCAGTCGTAACATGAGGAAGAATAATTCTGTTTTTTAGCCTATGGAAGGAGTTGAAAAACTTCTTTGGAAGTAGAATTGTGGTATTAGTCGCATCTGATTTGTAGTTTTGCTGTTTTCTTACTAGTTTTGCCTTTTATTCTGTTACTTTAGGCCCTCTGGTTTCCCTTGCTGGAGGCAATGATGTCTCCACAGAAATTGGCTGGTTCTTCACAGAATCGATACTCTGAGTGTAAGTATTTTGACATTTTGCAGCCTCAAATGCTGATAAAAATCTGTGTGGTGTCTCTCCTGCTCTACAGATCACATGTACAGAAAGCAGTTTTGTTGCTGAAGCCCTAAATTCCCCACAGTAGCTCTGAGCTGTGCTGGTTGCAGGACTGAGAGCTCAAGCTGGGCGTTTGGTAGACTGCAGCTGGCAGCCAGATACTGCTTGTGATCCTCAGTGGGAGAGGCTGTCCCACAGACTCCTCTGCTCACCCAGTCCCTTTGAGGATGGGCTTGGTTGAAAAGCCAACTTGCCCAGCACGTACAAAAGCTTTCCAGGCTGTAAGAAGCCTTGGAACTTCTGACATAATGCACTATCCTCTGCCTCGCTTTCCTACTCCTGTGCCTCCATCTGTCTGTCATGTATCAAGTTGGTGAAACTGGAATACACTCTAGATCTGCTCTAGATTCATCCCGCTGAATCTGTTGCAGCTGTCTGCAGCACATCTGGAATTTTGGAAAGCCTCATATTAGGGGAGACTTGAGAGCAGTTAGAGAGGCTTAGATACTCTGCTCTTGGGCCAGAATAATGTGTCCTGGCATCTTGCAGCCCTGTTTTCCGCAGTGACTGTGGTCTTGCCTGGTCAAGGACCTCACTGTGTTACAAGAAAGACCTATGGTTTGCATCCTGCCTGGCCTTCCTCTGCCTCTGTCCTTCCTATAACTGGTAGCTGTACCTGGGCTCTGGGAGATAGCCCTGCAAAGATCAGTCACCCAAAACTAAACATTAGCCCTCTTTCTACAACGGATCTTTTCCTTTAAATTCAAAATGTCCCCTAGATGTTCTGTTCTGAGAGCTGATTTCTGCAGAGGTTATTTAAGTGGAACCAGCAGTGATGATATAACAGGGTATAACACACTTGGATCCCTGCATAACCATTTTGATTCCCTTTGAGATAGATACTTCCCAAACCACTCTAGCTCGTTGCCTGTATGAAGAAGCCGAATTGCTGGGGTCTGCACATAGCTGAAAATAGGCTCTTACTTGGAGGTGGGGGGAGGAAAAAAAAAAATATATATATATAATGCAAAGGTTAATTCTAGGCACTTTAGTCATGACTGACATGAACAAGGGTTGCAGATTGGCTTTTGGTAGCAATAAGAGAAGAGAATGACGATGCTACCAAGAGTTGCAAAATGTGAGAAAGTTTAATGCAGGCGGGGAGTGGGAGGAGTGGGGAGAAGCATCCTGATACTGAAATCTTTTAAATATGCTTCCTGCTACCAAAAAGCTGTATGTGCGTTCTTGGTGTCAAACATGCACAGAAGAAAAAAAATCTAAAAATGGTTTAGAGAAAATGGTTTAGAAAACATGAAGTAAAATGAAACAGTTTTAATTTGAAAGATAAGCCTATCTTTACTGAAATCCTAACAAGCTGCTGGTGCTTTTTACACTTGATGTTTCAGCTTTGAAGAGTCTGACAATGCAAGTGCTGAACAACATGGCTGCATTTATAGCCCTTCCTTCAATCCTGCAGAGAATCCTACAGGTGAGTTGCAGCAGAGAAGAAAAATATTACAAACAAACTGTTACCAAACTGCATCTTTGAGCTACTTGGTAGAGCTGAACACGTTCTTGATTTAATAGCAATTTCCATGTCACTAAAAGTAACCGTCTAGTTTGAAATATTTCAATAAGCATTGAGTTGTTGAGATGTAGTTTGAAAAACCAGTAGAATGACCTGGAAGATCTGTCCCTGTGAGCAGGCAGGTGGGTAGACTTGTGAGTAATTCAAGGCAATTGAGTGAGTACAGTGAGTAAAATTGAGGTAATTTCTGCAAGCCAAATAAAATACTATTTCAAAGGATGCAGTTACTTTGCACCGCAATGGAACTGATCTGGGGACTGCTGCAGGGGTAAAATCTGGGGTAAAATGCCAAACTTCTCACACGTATGAACTAAATTTGTTGGAAGCCATGCTGCTACGTATGAACTAAATTGCTCTTTAGAGTTTCTGTTCCTGAGAGGAGAACTTTCTGAGTGAGCAGACATCTCTAACAGCCTTCTGGTTTGATCTTATTATTTCACATGCTCTTGGATTTTGGAAAATTAAAGATGTTGAAAGGTGTTGTAAGTAAGGGAGTAGGAAATGAGATCAAATGAAATATGCTTTTATCAAAGGTCTAAAGTGTTGAGCCTCTTCAATAACCAAATTTCATCTAGTTTTAACTGTAGCATTAGATCCAGTAGCCTGTCTAGCTTTGGAGTTTAACCCAGGTAGGAGATTCTACAGATGTTGTGAAGGGGTAACTGGGGAAGAGGGGGCTGAGAGAGGGGCTTTCCTGAGTTACACTGAGAATTATCAGGATGAGAAGGGAGGCAAACTAGTGACTACAGTGAAGACAACCTAGCTGAGAGGTATTACGGTGTGGAGGAAGAAGATCTCGTTGTCTCCTGGGAAGACTTAAAAATTATTGTTTGCAGCCTTCCCCAAAATATATCTTCCCCTTTCTGCTATTACAAAGTCATTCGCTCGGGTAGTAATACAAAAAACCTTCCTGAGAGGCTGACATTTGTGTGCTGGAGGCAACAGAGGAGTGAAACATTTGTCACTTGTACGGTGAACTGATAGGTGATGCCACCGAGGCAGAGGAGAATGGATGCCTGAGGTGCACCAGCTAAAGGCCTTTGCATCATGTCTTTCATGTGTCTGTCCTTAGTAAAACTGATGTATGTGGCTCTGGTTACCTGTGTTGGGGAGAAGAAATTGCCCTTCCTTGATCCATTTGCCTAACAAATTTAGTCTGACAAAATAGAGATTAATTAAAGCAAACTTCTTTTTTTGCAACTAGTGCAAGAGATGGGGAGAGAAGATGTCTTCTTCTAAATGCATTGGGGAAGGAGTAATTTGAAAGTGAAGAACACTAGTACCAGAACTTCACAGAACAGAAGTAGCAATTGGTACCTTATCATTCAGTAACAATTTTAGAGAAACAAGAGTAATAAACCTCAGGGCAAGTTCTTGTGGAAAGGGAAGGTGATATTAATTGACAATTTTTTTTAAGATGATTTTTGTCTCCTAATGCTTACTCTCTGTAGGTTTTGTTCCCTCGTTCCCTCACTCACATGTTTGCAAGCACCAAGATGGATGTGAGCAACGGATCTGCCCAGGATCACTTGTGTGTAGCAGGGGACAAGGGGTGTCCAACTCCTTGCTGCATCTCTGGGATTTCTCTGATTCCCAATGGCAGATTAGTTTTGAACAGATTAGTTGCCTCCTTTAGAAGCTATTGGCTTCTAAAAGGTGTGTTTTTTGCCTCCAAATCTTGCTTGCATCAGCTGCCATAAATCGCAGGCCAGATCGCTGCCTGTTTTTCATTTTTTTGGAATATAGGTTTGAAATGCATGTCTGTAGTCAGTGCTCCTGCTGGGCTAAGAGAAGAGGAAATGGTCTGTGTGATATGTTGCAGCTTTGCCATTCACCTCACGTTGGGATCCAGGCTCTTCCACTGATACCTTGTCTGTGCTGAGGTCTTATCAGCCTGCAGCTTCTGTGCTTGACATAACACCTTCCTCAGCTTTGCTGCTGGCAACAGTGTCCTTTCTTATCAGTACACAATATTCTATCAAATCTTTTTCCTCCTATTCCTTAAAAATATATATATATTTCTACTCTTGCTGCATTTATAGCAATTTTTATTTTGTTGCAAATCTCCAAATGGGGTTGCATGTGACTGAGAGGCAACGCTGGGTTATTTTGGGGGAAGAGACATGGCCTGTGGATGCTCTGCCAGTCCGTGGCACTGAGTGGCCCAGCAGCCTCCTCAGCTGGAGGTTACATCTCTGCTTTGTCAACCCGGGGCAGATGCCCCTTCTGCCAAGTCGTGTCCTTGCTTTTTGAAGCCATGGAAAATTGCTATCTTGGCTCTGAGCAATGCGTAGGGTCAAAATGTTATTGATGGCCACTCCTACTGCTGCCCGTGCAGAAATTCTTTAACAAGCCCTTCTGGGCTCCAGGGAGCATCCAGCCTTTCCCAAGCCCTGAAGGTAATTCTGTAAAAACCCCAAATTACCAGGGTGGGGGCTTGGGAGTTCCTGGAAATGCCCTCAAGGCCTCTTCCAGCAGAGGTCAGGTCCTTGTGGTGGAGCGTGGATGCCCTGGAGCTGCAGGTCTGCAAAGTAGAACAGCTGCCCAGGAATTAACTGGGGGATTTTTTCTTTTTAAGGTGAATGACATCAATAAACTGAGGTAGATTATCTTCCTTTTTCTGAGGAGGAATTAGAGTATTCCAATTTTAGTGGGCTGTTTTTCTTCCTCTGCTGGGCTTAGCTGCTTAGAGATTATACCTTATGCAAATGTTAACTTTGCAGCCGAAATGCTGAGCTAAAGGGCACCTTGCAAAGGGCTGCAAGCACACGCTGCTGCTTTCCCAGTACAGAGGTAGGTTCTGGGCATCTATCTCATTGCAAATTGGCTCAGCTTTATATAACGGAAATCTTATGAAATTATTATTAATATATTTAGGTTTTTATTTGTCCTTTATAATGCTATAACATTATTTGTTAAATAGGGAAGTGTGAAATAGCGGTGTTGGGAGAAATGCTAGAAGAATCCCCCCCGAGCATAAGGAGAAATATTGTGCTGTTAAGTATATGAATGCTGTCAGAAGAAGATGGAAAGGCTGAGCATTAATTCCCTTCCAAAGCTGAAATCTTTCATGAATGTCTTGCAAGCAGGCACAACTTCCTCTATTAATGGGCTATCCAATATGGTGTTTGGAGCTTGCATAAATCCCAAAGCAAAACATATTTTATAAGGCAGAATTAATGAAACATATCCCTCCTTTAGAAACAACTGATCCCACGAAGCTCTTGTGACTATAGATTTTCGCGGGGCTTGAAACCAGCAACCTGCCAGAAAGGATGATGGTTGGCTGAGGTTGTAGCTCTGGATTTCATGCTCAAGGCAGGTACAGAACTGCAACCGAGGCCCAGGCAGCCCTGTCCACAAGAAGCGTGGGTGACCTTCACCCCTCCTTTGGCTGAAGCTCTCCCATGGAGATAGGGCAGTTCTCTACTTACCTACCCCCCAGCCTGAGAAAAACTGAGGAGCTGAAAGTTGGCCCCAGGGCCCACGTTCCTCATCTGCAAACTTATAGGTGGCTCTTTATTCTTTTCTCTTCTTCCTGTCTTCTCTTCCTCCTCTCCCTCTACCAGCAGAAGAAACAAGTTGCACTGAACATCTCCACCTGCACTTTTGAAAGACCAACTTGCTCTATATAAATGCTTGCACCCATAGGTTGCGAGTTGGGCTTTGCTTGGCTACCTATGTAAATGCTTTAGAAAAGCAAATAGCTGATGCCTACAAAAGGACTTGCTGTATGTTGTGGTTCACATTTAAGTCATGCTGCAAGTCCTGACTTCCCTCTTATTCTCCATAATTCATAAGGTGACTCAATGTTGTGGGCTTTCCATGCTGTTGTCTTTAAATTATGCACGCAGAGAGAAAACTCGGTGTCTGTTGAGTCTGCACTGCTCACCTAGCACAGAAGTAGCTTTGGCAGCATGTTGAGCTCTTCTGTGTCTTCAGACCTGCAGCTGCTTCTGACTCAAGTAGTGTTACTCAGTGCTGGTTTTATTTAGGCTTGAGCATTGGTATTTCTGCCTGTCACATTTTGTGAGGAGGTTGCTGTTCACACTTGCCCAACCTACTTTGTGTAGCTGCTTTGGGGAGCTCTCCAGTCATGTCACAGTGCAGCTTCTTGGCAACTTCTGTCTTTGCTGACTCTTTTTTACTGTTGATTCTGCTTTATTTCCTTCACTCTCAGTGCCAGCATTGAATCACCCTTGATCCTTTTCCTTTTTCCTTTGTCTTAGTCTGAATTTGCTTATCTAGTTCCTTCTATTCCGGTGTCCATTGAGCATCCCTCACTTTTCTAGTGTCTAAGGTAGTTTCCTGCTCACATCTTGCCATATTCCTTTTTTTTTTTTTTTTTTGGCCAGTCCCCCATGCCCTGGAAGGAGAGTCTTGCCAAAGCTCTCCTTTACTCCAGTGCTTTGTCCCTCTCCTGCTTGAGAGGCTGCACCTGCCATGGACAGCACATCTCTAGATGTTCTTCTCTCTTTTATGGTATGAGTCCCAAAAGCTCTGAATACCAGGGAATGCCAGAGCAGGTGTTGAACGAGTTTGGGAGTACTTTGTGATTGAGCAGAACCTCAGCGTGGAGCTGGAGCCCTGCAGGGTGCCCTGGAGTCCTCTGACCGGCAGACACCCTTGGCACTTGGTCTTGACCTTGGACATGCTGCTGCTTAACATCTTCCCTGTGCTGCACATGTTGCTTTTCTTTGGTATTCCTCAAACGTGCTTCCCGTTCAGCTCTTCCATCTCCTAGTGAAACGTATAAACTTATAATGTGGAATCATAACTTGCGCTTGTGACGCAAATCTGAAAATTAAAAAGCCAAAAGGCTTTTCATGACATGCTCAAGTCAGCTTTGGTTTTTCATTTCTTTGCACAGGATCCTGTTTATGGAAAAGGGAAACTTGGAGAAATTCAAGGACTTGTTCTGGGCATGCTGGACACCTTTAACTACGAACAAGTAAGTTCATGCATTTCTGTGCTGTCCACGGCTGCATAAGGAGGTTCTTTCTAGCTGTCTAGAGTTCTGCTTTCTCTTATGTGCACAGCAGACTACCTGGGCATGTAGTTAAAGTCTATTTGTGCAATTAGAGAGACATGGGGAAAAGGGAGGATGAGTTCATTGTTACTCACAAACAGATTGCAGATGAAGGGGGTGACGGTTGCATCATCATGCGGACACTTTCGTAGTTGAATTTTACCCTAAAATGTACCTGTTTTTTCTCCAACTCATCTTTCAGGCAGGGGTTCACAGGCGCAAGAACAATATAGCTGGTCTTTTTACATGGTTTTCAATGTGTTTTTTAAATCAGGATGTTTTCCTGCTTCCCTATAGTAATGCTGTGCTTTGCCACCTGATGAGATTTTACCTATATTTAATTCCTGCCTTCCTCTGTCCAGTCTGAAATTCCAAGGAGCCTCCACACTTCACCTTTCTAATAAAGCCCCTCATTCCCAAAACAGAATACATACGCTTCCTCCAAACCCTCCCTCAATTCTTCCAGCCATATGGCACTAGCATCTTAGCTGCTGTTCAGACCTCAATGTGGCATCATCTAATTTAAAAATAAAATGGGAAATAGCATTACTGTAGCGTGCTGATGTAGACAGAGCAGTTCTCTCTCCTTTGAGCTCTTGGGGAAGGTTTGCTCGTAGCCACATGGGCCCTCTCTTCTCCTGTGCCTAGAGGTTGTCTGATACAGGTGCGTGTCCCATCTGGACCAGCCTGTGCCCTCCTAAGGTTCCCCAGGTGATCTGAAAACTTCTGTGAGCGGTCATGGACCAGAAGCATCTTATCCCTGTGGCTGCTGGAGGAAGCAGTAACCTCTAAAAATGAAGGATATTCCACTTCTGCTTCTTCAGAAATAGCAACCTTACATGGAGGGAACTAGCAAATGAGAGATTCATATTTTTTCATATTTTAATTGTGATAGGGCGTTTGAGCTCTGATTTTTGTCTGCCCCTATCTAGTAAAATGAGGGGTGTAAGCAGTTTCTTGCCAAGGAGAGACAAGAAGGCGAGCGGAAGTGTGGCAGATCACAGATTGAGCCAACCACATCTCTCAGTACTCTTGGACAAAAATCAATAAAGCACTATTATAGAAGTGAAAAGATACTGTCTCCATTAATGTATGATAAAAGGATAAGTATTTAGAGATAGTGGCTATAAAACATATAATGAGGTATAAAGAGAATCAATTTTGCTTGTGCTTTTAGCAGTCTGCTAAGCTCCTTGGTATGATGAATTGATCAGGATGGCATTTCTGCAGAGATGACAAAACGACCTGGTTATTCTGTATATTGCCTTTCCCACAGACCCTTTTAGAGACAACTACGAATCTTTTAAACCACGATCTCCACTGGTCCCTGTGTAACCTAAGAGCTTCTGTCACTAGAGGGCTTACCCCAAAGCAGGATTACTGCTGCATTTGTCTCCAGCAGTACAAGAGAAGGCAAGAAACTGCTGATGAAATCATTGTTTTCAGGTAAAGTCACAGATAATTCTTTGTGTGAAGCCAGTTCTGTCTCAGCTGAAAAGTATTGCCTTGCACTTTTGTGAGAGCAGTGTAGCTAGCTCTCAGTATCTGTTGTCTATGCCAGGAATGCTTGTGTTAGCAGAAGGTGATTCCCTGGTGGAATTGGATAGCATGGTCCTAACTGAAAGCCTCAGCCACTGAGGTGCCCTTGCTGAATGACACAGCAGGTCTGGAGCTGCAGAAACTCTTTGTGGATGTTCATGAAGCTGGAAATTGGATGCAGCAAGTACAACTAGGGACAGACTGTCTTGCTGCCAGCTGACACTGCTTGCTCTGTCCCAAATACAGTGCTTTGTGTTGGTGAAGCTTGGCGTACCAGTATTCATCAAGGCCTCACGAAGCAATTGCAGCATCTTTTTTTTTTTTTAAACTTTACTTGTACCTCTTAAGTCTATTGCAGCCCTGGCTTATACTTCAATATCTCCCATACTCCTGTGTGCAAGCAGGCAAACATAAAATCAGAGGGCAGGATCGTTATTACCTTGCATTATGATCTATAGCTGTATCAGCAACGGGGAATCTGCTGTTATTTTTGGAAGTCTAGAAATGCTCCTTGGGAGTGTGAAGGAATATGCGTGTTGCTGATTTGTGGTTACAGATAAGCAGCCTGATTTTCCACTAGCTAGAGTTTTTCCTTCTGAAATGTCATGCTGTTGGCTGTATTACCCTGCTCTCAAGCACCTAAACAGAGTTTTTCTCTTGTCTTTGCAGCTGTGGCCACTTGTACCATTCCCTGTGTCTGCTGAGTAAAGAGTGTGGGTTAATAACTACAGGCATGATGAGATGGATGTGCTACAAGTGCAACTCAAGCAACAAGGGAGCAAAACTGAGTGAGAACTTCTCAGAGTTGAAGAAAGGAAGCGGAACATCCTTGGCACAGGTAGGGTTTGTGCCATGGTTTCTCTTCATGTTATCTTAGACAAGCGCTCATGAGTTCCCTCATCTTATTCTCGTGTCCTGTTTTGCTTCCAGGTAGAGCTGTGATCAGTAGCTGTCAGACAGTAGCTGCTGTTAACTGGTTGAACTTATGAATGTTGTTTTGTTTGGGTGTGGATATAAAGAGTTGTGTGAGAAATGGAAATGTTTCCATCCCAAAAGTCTTTGGACTGCTAACTGATGCGAAAGGAGCTGAATGCATCCACCTCTCTGTCTTGTTTGTGAGAGCCTGGGACGAGCCTCTGGGGCAATTCCTTTCAAATTATATGTAGCTGTGTTTATTCAAAAACTGTAGTGTGTTCTCGTGGCTGGATCATAGAGCCTCCATCCTGCCTTCTGAACAGATAGCCTGGCTCTGGGTAGAAGATGCGAAAAGGATTTGACTTGCTATAAATGCTCCTAAAATGCTTGAAGGCGCTTACACGGAAACAAGGCGACTGCAGCTGGAGCAGGGGGAAGCTCCGATCACCGGTTTGGGTTTTATTGGCACTGGCAGATGTTTGTCCATTCTCAATTCAAGCACAAGTGCAAACTCAATAGCGTGCGTCTGACTTGTTCCTGGCCTGGTCCTGGGGGTTGCAAGCCAAGCCACGGGCATCTCGTTGGGGTGGCTTCCAGGAATATGGCATGGGATGTCTTCCAGGACCTGGCTCCTGGGGCAGCTGAGGAGGTTGTCAGCGAGGAGGGTCTGTTCCTTGGTACCCCAAGATACTTTGTGCCTTTGTCACCAGCCACGCGTATGCGGTGTGAAGTATTTCTATTTGTGAAAGCAAAGTAATTCAATCTTGGAGTATGTTTTTATAGTATTGCCTCAGTGTTCTTCTAGCAAATTATTTCCATTTCTATCAAATCAGTTCTGATGCAGAGATCGCTAACAGCGTTAGTCAACTTCAATCAGCCTCTGCATTAACCAAAAAAGAAGCTTCCTGCTTGAAGGGAGGCTTCGGAGCAAAGTAATCTCTGAGGACTCCCTGGAGTGCAGCGCAATCCTCGCACTCAGTCTGTGCTGGGATATATGACGGACAGGAAAGCTTCCCGTGGAGGATCAGCGATGGTCCATCCTGCCTGCTCACAGGTTTCGTGCACCATCCTGTTGCAGTGACATCCTTATACTGGCTCTAGGAACAGGCAGTATTGGCAGCCCAGTATTTTTAGCCTCTAAACCTGATCTGAAGGAATGTGCTTAGCTGAGGGGGAAAGGGCAGGTTTAACTTTAAAAGCCACCAGCAAAATTCGGGACTAAAATGATATTAGTCACTAAAGTGCTGCTACTTCATAGCAGGGCCCCTGATCTGATTATTGCTGAGCTTCCCAGCAAGCAGCTAGTCAGCTGGGGCATCACTATTTCTTCCCTTTAATGCTGCTCTGGGCATCCACCCTGGCAGAAAGAAGTAAGAAATGGTGCAGACCGGGCTCCAAGGCTGGCTCTGCGGGCGTCACGGGAGACTAGCGGAGGAAATGGGGAAGGAAAGGGCTCCCGGTGGGACTCCGTAGCGGCAGCTGGAAAGCTCCGGCGCCGGGTCAGCCGCGTGCCGGCTGCTCCCCCTCGCCGCTCCGGCGCGGAGCCGCGGCGCTTCCTCTGCTCGCCCAGCCCTGCCTGGAGCCCCCCGCGCCCGGGGCTCCTCCGTCTGGAGCCTGGCTGGCCTTGTGCACCTTGCAGAGAGGAGGTGAGGCCAGGCACGGGGCTGCTGGGGGCCCTGCCAGCCTCCCCTTCCTGGCAGCCCCTGTCAGGGGTTGTTCTCAGCCCAACTCCGTGGCCTCCGGCCTCGAGACCGTTGTCCCAAGGTCTCCTAGCTTTTTGGCACTGCAGCTCTCCTCCACGTTTCCTCTCGGCTCAGCTGGCACCGGTCAGCTCAGGAGCCTCATGCTGGCCAAGCTGTTCTTCCTGCTGTTCCTGCTTCTCCCTGTCTGGCGTTGGGGCGGATAATGAACAGGAAACCCAAGGAGAAGCTCAGTGATACAAGTGCTGCCTCACTCCCTGCCTTTTCTACACCCTGCAGTGCCAGCTCCTGCCTTCAGGGACGTTTTCCATAGATCTGTGGGGAGCTGTTCCAGGTGCTTTGAAAGACCCCCAATACTCTGTCTCTTGGTATGGGCTGGTGCTTTTTTTCTTTTTTTCCCCTCCCTCCCTACCCCCCTCAGTGAGATCTTCAGTTTTGTTATTTATTTTTTTCGCAAGCTCTGCAATAAAGGCTGCCTCATCCTGACAAATGCCACTGAGCATCTGGAGTGCGTTTCGCAGTACCGGTTCTGCTCCGCTGAAACAAAGGCTGTCGCTTTGGATTTCGCAGCGCTGCCGAGATTTATATGCAGAGCGACAGCCCAACAGACAGGGTTTCTTTTTTCCTGTTCCTGCTTTGCATGCATGACTCCCATCGCAATTGCCTTGAAATTGGAGGGCGGGCGGCAGAGAGATGCCCCAAACAACGGCCGATCCGTTACCGAATCCTTCCTTGAAGGGCCCGTACGTGGGGTGCGCTTGGAACCTTCTGCCCCAGTGCGGCCAGGAGCTCTCATCTTCACCGCCAGCAGTACCAGAACTCTGCAAAGGTTTTATAACTTTGAAAACACCCATTAACACTTTATAGAGGTGCAGGTCTGTGCGTTCTCCTGTGCAGCAATGTTCCCACCTGCCTGGAGCAGCAGGGATGCCGGGACTTGCCGACCCTCCAGCTGCAGAGGGGCTGGGATGGCGGGCAGCCCCGTTACGCTGCGGTTGCCGCGTTCGCGTTGCCTGTGGCCATAGCAGCGGGGGCAGAGGGCAGTTTTCCCGTGTTTGTTCGGTTTTTCCTAGCGAGTGTGAGCTACGCGTCCCTTGGGGATGCGTTGCTACCTGTCAGCAGTGAGAACGGGACTCTGGTGCCCTTGGGCTTTCCTGGTTCAGAGGCTGTGCAGCGAATATCTTGAGGGGAGGAATAAACATCAGCATGAACTCCTAGGGTGAGGGATCTGCAGTCTGGTCATTCCGCTCTTCTCACACTGCTCGAGTGTCTCAAAAGTGGTTTTCGTTGCCCAGGTGCCAGCGCTGTTTCCGTCTTTCCTTGGGTAGTTACTGAAAATTGAGCTACAGACCAAGCTGATGTGATCTGTGGTAAAACGGCCCTCTCTGCTGTCTCCATCCTCAGTCCCTCCCTCATCCCTAGCTCCGCAGCTTCCCAGGCCAGGACTTGGGTCTTGAAGGCAGCAATAGTAGTTCTTCTAACTGGGCTTGATCCACTGCCAAAGAGAGTCAAGGTAAATTCAAATCCAATAAGCAGCCACTTGTTGTAGGGCTGTAGCATTGTGGGTTAACAGCCCCTGGGAAATGGCTTTTTTTTTTTTTGAGAAAATATTTAAGCAGGAATATTGAGTGTTCCCTTAAAAATAGATCCCCAGGGATGACAGCTGCCAGATTGCAGCTCGTGAGCATGGCTGTTCTCCCTGGCACCTATTGCAGTTCCTTCGTGATGCTTTTGTTTTGGAACACGAGCAGAAATGTTCAAAATAGAAATATTGTGATGTGATCAAATGGATCAAGCCTCCCAGAATGCGAAACTTCACCCTCCCTCCCTGGCCTAGTTAAGTGATGCCTTTTAAAGCGGTTTGCATCCCACCCTTGTTGCAGTAGCGCTGTTGTTGCGCGGTGCCTTAACCTTGCAGCGCTACGGAGGGTCTCTGCGATTCTCTTGCCTTTCGCCCAGAGCTGCTGGCTGCTGCTTTTGCCCTTGTATCCAGCCTGCCCTTGTGCCCCAGTCTCACACCTGCAAGGCCAGCACTGCTGGGCAGTGGCACCGTGTCTGCCCTGCCCAGTTTCTCGTGGGATGTGACTGCCACCCATGAGTGAATCACGCTTTTTCCTTCCCAGCCTTTTCACCCTCACTTCCTAGCTTTTAGTTCATGCCAGTGGGAGAAAATAGACCTTGGGAGACAACATTAGCTGGTAGTAATTTAAATAGTAAGTGTTCCCCAGTAATAGCCCTGAACCATCTGTGCCTGATCGCAGCCCGCTGCTGTATGTCATAAGCCAGCAGGGAGATGGAGTGGGGCCTGGGGAAATGATCAAGAAATCCTGGGGGAAAGCAGGGGGGAAGCTGGAGCCCAGGAGAGCGGCTCACCTGGGGAGCCTCAGCGCTTCTCTCCCCAGCTGGTCGGTCCTCTACAGCGTGAGCAGACGAGCAACTTCAGCCAGAGGAAAGATGGTCTTTTTTGTCCCCTCTTACCAGGCTGCACCCTGGCTGCTCTAGGCGCAAGGCTGGGAGCAGGGATGAATTTCTAGGTAGATCAACTTGAATCTTGTTCGTTGTTTTTGTCACCTTCTTACTCTTTTATCAGGTGCCTTCAGAGTCTCCGTTGGATGCTCAGCAAATCCAAGCTTTTGACCAACTCTGCCGACTCAACCGAGGAACCTCCAGAGTACGTTCTGCCTGCTGCTTTTCCTTTTGGCTTTAGCCTGGTAAAGACAGTTTAAGTGGGTGCCATGGACCCGCTGTTTCCTGCCCTTAGCAGATGGCTAGGGGTTTCTGGCTGCTGTGGCAGAAGGTGAGCTCCACGTGAGCTCTCCAGGTCCTTCCACACCTCACACTGCGTGTGCCCAGGCAGTCTGCTCAGGCTGCGTGTTTTCTGCCTTGCAGTTGGCTCTCCTGACCGAGCTGTCCCGCAGTCACGGCGGTGAGAAGCACGGGCTGCTCAGCGTTTCCCACGGGGACCCTGCGGCCAGCAGCGTCTTCCAGGACGAGACTTTCCAGCTGCACCTGGCTCCCCCTCCGCTCGCCGAAGACTAGCGCCTCCAGCCGCAGGAACCACGGTTGGTCTGGGGCCTCGGTGCAGGGAAACCTCTCTGCCTTGACACTGGACTTCTCCCCCTCTTCCCCAGCGTGTGGCCCTGGGGCCTGCACCAGCCCTGGGCCATGTGCCCGTGGGCAAAGGACGCGCAGCCGGCGTGTGCCCAGCACCTCTGTGTCTTGCAGGGCTGCGCTGAGGTTGCTCACGGGTGCTGCATCTGGGTGTTAATTTTAGCGCGTGCAAAACTGTTTTTTCGCCAAGGCCTGGCCCGCGGCCCCCCGGAAAGAGCCCGGGATGGTTTGATGGCACAAACCGGTAGCCTGGGAAGGCTGGAGCCTGCCAGGAAACGCTGCGTGTGTGAGGAAACTCACCCGGGTGCCGGCTGTTCCTCCGACCTCCCATTAAAAAAAGGCCCTTGGTGGAATTTGGTTGTGCGAGTCGTGCGCAAGGGGAGCGGTAACGGGCTGCGGGGCTGGCAGTGCCACTGGCTGCTGCTGTCGAGTACCTCTGCCACCGGGTTCCAGTAGCAAAGGGCTGTGTCTGGTCCCTGTCCCGCTATGTGCAGCTTGTCCCAGCACAGCCACGTCGGACCTGAGCGTTGGGTTTTCCCCCCAAGTCCAGTACCCGGGACATCCATGAGCCCGGACAGGAGCTGCTGCGCTCCATTGGGCTCTGCTGCACTTCTGCCCATAGCACAGAGCGGATGCTTCAAGGTGCCATCGTGGCACGTATGGTTGAAACCACAAGTGACCGTTCCTTTGCTGGAAACCTCAAAATGCTTCGCTGCAGTATGGAGAGCGCACAGTTACTTAGGACAAACAGAAGAGCTCCAGTTGTTTAGTATTTTATTAAAGAAGTAACATACACACCTCTCCCTGGCAGAGTGGAGCAACAAGCTCAGGGCAAGTCTTGTACAGCAGAGCTTTGCCCGTGTTTGTGCAAAGGAAAGAAATCCCCTTGGTGTGAGGATGGTGTTTCTGACCTAGGGTGAGTGATGTGAGCTCGGCAAGAAAGGGGCCACAGTGCTGGCGGCTAAAACACTTCCCAGAACCAGCCCTGTCCCACACCAGGCTGCTCCACTGACTTTTACTGGTACAAGAGAAGGGAGAGGCAGCTTTATTGTGCTTAAGACATCTGAACAAATCCTGGTATAGGAGATACTCACAGCTTGTGAATATTGCTAATTACTTACAGTTAAGAAAGAAGGTATCTTGACGACAGTGATATGAAGCTGCAAGACCACAGGATCTTAAGGGTAAGTCTTGGGCAAAAAAGCCTAACTGATTTGTCACTACCCCAAGAGCAGGCCCCCGTGTGCTCCCTCTTGCACGTAGTGGGGTCCTAGTGCCCCTTCCTGTGCCTGGCACCCCACACGTGACAGTGGGTGGCAGGTCCTGCTGCCATTAGTACCTGGGGGTCGCACCCGCCAGGCACACGCGCGAGGGCTGCAGCTCTCCACTCGGGTTACACGTGAAAGATTAAATGTGAGTAAATGCTGTAGGTTCATACATAATGCTTTCTTCTACCTATGAAATGTGTCTGGTCAAAAGACAGCAAAACGTTGTTAGAAACCTTGGTTAACCAAGAAAGACAACCCCACCCTTAAAAAATAAATAAATCCTATTTAGTGTTTACTACGGCCTTCACTTAAATGCCCTCAGAACACCGGAATACTTTTAAGTAAGTGCCTCGTGAGAATGTATCTGCTCATGCAATGGCCCAAATTCCTCATTTAACAAGCATTGCACTTTTTATAGAAGTCATCAAAACTATAAAACCTGTTATTTTTGTCTGAAAGTGTTAGTCTAAAAAGTACAGGATTACTTTATAACCATTTATGTTAAGTTCCTAGCACACGCGCATGTGCACGTGCACACACGCACTGTTACCTAAACATTTGCTAAAGGTACTGATTACAAAGTGTATAAAATTAGTAATACATTGTCAGGATACAGTGAGAGCGATGAGCCATTCTAGAACACAGACTACGATCTAGTATCAGTCACTAAACTGTACACGTTTATACAGCCTTATATTCACTACTGACTTTTGAAACGTAAACAGTAAATACACAAAGAAATTCAGTAATGCTGTTGAAAACACAGTTATTACTGACTCCAACTGCTTCAAGCTGACTGAAATCTTCCGAGAAAGACGGTTTTGTTTTGCCGAGCGTAGCTGAAACAAAGCTACCAGCAAAACAGCTCTTGTGTTTGCAGCTATTTAAGGAAAATCTCGTTTAGACGCCGCTGTTGAACTGGATGAAAAGGAGAGCAAAGCCAAAGCTGCCTCTCCCAGGTACCGTGATCTTGGGCTGTGTTTTGCTGAGCGCCACCGCCACGCTGTGCCAAGCTCTGCCAACACAGCGGTGCGGCTGGGGAGCAATTTTTTCTCTTATTTCTTTTTTTTTTTTTTTTTTAATGTGTTATCCTTCAGGCAGACAGGGGCCCTGAGGCCATTTGGTGCTGAGCGCGCGCTGCTCCTGAGGGCATTTTGCGTTTTTGGAGGTAGTCAGTGCCTTTCACCTGCCCTTCTGCACCTCCGTCCAGAAGGGCAGCGGCTTGGGCCGTGCTGCTCCCTCCTCTCCCTCCTGCTGAGCTGCAAAACCCCAAACCCCTTCCCCAAGATCCACGCCAGGAAGCGACTACCTGGCTGCAGGCAATGACTGACCTCCGGAGCACGAGTTGCCTTTTCGGGAGATTTCAGAGCCTGACCCACCTCCGCGGATGCCCGGTGCATAGCCTGGAGAAACGGGGGAGGCACTTTGTGCGTTCTCTAGCCGGCCGTAGCGCCCGGCCCCAGGGGCACGGAGGGCCAGCGCGCAAGGACGCCCGGGCGCCAGGAGAGCACCTCCTGCCTCCGCAGCCCCTGCAAGCAGCCTGGCACAGGAAACCCCCAGGTGGCACATCTCCACGCGAGCGGTGGGACACAGCGTGGCCCACGCAACGAAAAGGGCCTGGTTCGGCTATAAACGTCTTAGGATTTATCACTATCTTACGTGCAGACACGGGAGAGTCAGTGGGGCTGAGAACACGTAAAAATTGCTCAGCTCGCCGCTTCCTCGCCCGCGCACGAGTCCCGCGACCACGCTCCCGTGCGGAATCTGAAAAATTGAGTGCACTGGAAAAAAGGGATTGTCAGAAAAACAGAAAATATAAATACTACAAAAGCAACATTACTGAGTGGGAATTGGACTGATCTTCTTCCACCTTGCTGGATCACACGGTGGTTTCTATAGTCTCGATCACTTCCATTTCGCACTGCGAGGGTGACAGGAGCGGGCACTCATCGGGCTCCCAGCTGCTGTCGGGGCTGTAGTCTTCCTCCGAGCTCAGCTCCGCGCCCCCCTCCGTGTCCTCATCGCACGACTCCACGTAGTGAACCCCCACCGCGTTGATGCCGGAGTCCTCGGAGCTGGAGGGCGACGAGCAGTGCTCCGGTTTTGGCGTATTGCTCTCGTGTGTGATTAAGGCATTGCGAACGGGCACCTCCTCGGCCTTGGCCTTGTGCGGCGCCGGCGGGGGCTGCCGCTGCACGTAGCACATCTTCCCGTTGATGCATTTCACCCGGTAGTTGTCGATGAAGAGGTCCGCGATGGTGCAGAACTGCGGGGAATCCGGCGGCAGAGGCGGCTGGAAGACGGGCGCAAACTTCAGGAAGTGTTCGGTGAGGGACACGGAGATCTGGATCGTGTTGGTGGATTCCCGAGGGCGAACGGGAATTTCGGTGCTGGGAAGCTGCTCTACAGGCGTCATGGGCTGATAGACATATTTGCCTGTGGGGAAAACAGAACAGCAGTATTAAAAGATTATATCTGGGGCAAAAAGATACCACAAACATGTAATGTTCACCCTAAGTGGTTAATACCAGCTAGTAGAGCCTTCATGTCAGCAGCCACTTTGTTTGCAGTGGTCTAAAAACATGCAAAGAAGTGCCATTTTTTCCTCCTTTTCTTCCCTGAATGCAGACCAGTTCTACCAGTTCTACATTGCTAAAATGATTTAGTTATTATATGCAGGGTACTCACTGTAATGCAAAATGCTTCCATGGTCTTTTTTCTAGACACTGAATAGGGTTTTGTTCTGTATTGTAAACTAGGGGCTTCAGACGTGTTTGCAAGTGGAATTTTAAGGCGAAAAATAAGGGAATTCCCAAGGCATAGAAATGCCTTTGACATTTTGATAATGTGGTTAAGTAATAAGAAAATAGGATTATGCTGGCTATAGAGGGAATACCAAGTGCGAATAGAAAAGCACAACTGCTAGTCTGTACTAAAAAAAAGAGCAAAGAAAGAGCAGGAAATCAGTACTTTGTTAGGAAAAACTGAGCAACCCGAGGCTATGCCAAAGACTCTAAAATGCTGCATTTTACTTGCACGAAGTCTCTGAAAGATTCACATCTCCCCAGGGGTTCATAAACTATGAAAGCACAAATTTCCAGAAGACTTGCAAGTAGTGGGACTCTCAGAAGAGTTACGATGCAGCAGCTATAAATACTACAAATGCCGCTTCGCAAGGAGAAGGGATCAAAGCAACGGAGGAGCGTTTGGATGTCCAAAGCTCTTCCAGGTGAAGAGCAGGCGGCCACCCAGGTTCCTGGTCCCTGCATGACTCAGGCTCTGCTGCCCTCAGGAGATGCAACTACCACATGTCCCTCTGCTCGGGGGTGGGTGAATTCCTGACTCCTTTGGGAAACCAGAGCAGCGCTCACCTGCTGGAAGGCAGCGCTTCCACTCCGCGACGGTGGAGCAGAGCGGGGAGGGAAGGGCTCTCTTCTCCCTCTCAGCCTCTTTTTGATGGGCAATCCCACCCTTCACACGTGAGCCCTTCCAGACAAGACAAACAGCTCTGGGAAGAGGCCGTGGCAAAGGCTGGAAAGCAAAGCACGTCCTTGTTCCACGGCAGGAGCAGCCAAAGCAGCTGCTTTCCAGCTGGCTGAACGTGCCACCGTCTTGAGCAGAACCTGTCCGAGAGGACTCGGATTTTCTCCACTGAAAGTAACTGCCACGTGTGCTGGCCAAGGAACCGTGGGAAAGGAAAAGTAGGGGATTTAAGCCGAGGTAGCTTGCAGCACAGGCATTAAAAGGAATGAAGGATTCATCTAATTTGCCTTTTTAAGGCAAAGCAGGCAGGGAAGAAAATCACTGACAAACCTTTAACTGGAGGAAACAGATACATTTCATGGGCTTCCTCTCAGCTTCTCACAGAAGCAGAAATCTGCTTTCCCTCACAAACCGGGGATCAGCGAATGCAGCAGTTGAAACTCCAGGTCGGTGTTTGCAGTCTCTGCCTCGGCTTTAGGACCCCAGGCGCTCACGGACGGGCAAGGTCTTGCTTCGGCTTCGCCTCTGCTTGAAGCCCCCTTCTCGCCGCAGCTGCTGAAACGCAAAGGCTTAAACCGACTCCCGTGGAGGGAAAGGTCCGAGAGCAGCGGCAGGGGAGATGAAGCCCAGCGCATGTGGCAGTTCTCCCCCGGGTTTCAAAGCTGCCACGCTGGCACTAATTTCAGGGTAGAAGCAAACAGCGACTACTTCGCTAACAGAGGCTTTCGAGCGGCCGACAACATTCGCTCACGTTCCAAGGACAAGCGCAGCCAGGACAAGGTGGAAATTGCCCGTCAGAAAGGCACCGAACTGGGGGCTCCATAATGTTGTTTGCAGCTCCTTACCCTACGTACGGAGCGTAAGCGCATCGGGCACGATGAGTTTCAGAAGTTGAACAATAAAGCCAAGTCAGCTGGCGAGGGCCGCGGCCGCGCTCCGTGCAGACCCAGGTGCTAGACCAGGCTCCGCAGGGCAGCTCGTTCCCTGCCTCACTCGCCACTTCTGCCTGGGCGGAAGGCAGCAATTTGACGATGGAAAAATACCGCAAAAGCTGAACGCAGGGGGTTTTGGCCAAAAATCAGACTCAGTTTGCTGCATTTGCAGACGTTTGGGAAGATCATAAACACGGTAATAGTTGCTATAGAGAAGCTTCACAGTTCGAGCTTTGCAGTCCTGCCAACACTGTAAGAGGCTAAGAAGTGGAAGCAAGTTACGGTTCGTCTCCTTGGTGCTTAATGGGAAATGTGTGAAAGGAGCCTCTGCCAAAATTATTTCGTGGTAAGTCTGCACGACAGCCATATGTTGACAGACTATATGATCAGAGGCAAGACAACTGAGAGATTCAGCAGTAGGTATGTTGGATACACGTAACCGTTTGCCCCAGCTGAAAGCGCGTACCAGGACCTGCGCTGTCTGCTGCTGCACGCGCAAAGCTCTGCTCTCGCACCAACAAAACTGGTTTGTGCTCAGCTAAAACCGGAGCTTGTGTTTCCACTTCTTTGTTACTCAGTTTGCTCTCATGACAGTCTGAAGACTGAGACTTGTAGTGAATTACTGCACGCGAGCCCCTACCTAACTGCAAAGCAGCCACTCGAAGCACGGGCAAGGAGGTAGCTCTTCGCCCTGCCTCTCTCTTCACAGAAATACCATTTTATTGCCAAAAACCGACAGACGCTGTTCACCGAAACCTTGGCTCTGCTCCTCTGGTGCTACCTGCCTGCACGCTCGTGCAACTCGGAAAATATTTTATCCCCCAAAGTACACGCGCTCATACATAGATTTACACGTGCATGTATATGGTCTGTTTGAGGCTACGATTACCACAATGATGTGGTTGATTGGCTGGAAGCTGAATTAAAGTGTCTCCTCCGGCACCCAAAAACACATAGGTGAAGCCTTTCGGAGAAAGCCACGCGGTCACGTCTGTCTGATTTTTTGCTAATTGAGCACTCCACATGCATCCTCACCAGAGAGACGCAGCAGCAATTTCCGGGGCTAATACAAAATAACTTAACCATGAAATAAGCAGAGGTGCTGTTTAAACATTTTATTCTCCACTTCCCCTCGTCCCAGCATTCGAGGTTACCTCTGACATTCGTTAACGTGCTCAGCATATTAAAATAAGAAGAAATCCATCTTTTGGCTACGAGCTTGCTCGCGACTAACCCTGGCTTCTCGCCCTCTCGCAACACTCCCGTGCCAGGACAGGGACTTTCCCTGGCTCCACTGGCAGATGTGATCTACAGGCACCTGTAGATGAAAGCACCAGAGCTTTGTGTCACAAACCACTAAAATAGGGATGTGCATCGGCAAAGTTCCTTGGCAGCTTTGTGAAAAGAAATGCATGAAAACGCAGGCATGCTCTTTGCAATGCTTAGAAGTTCAGCTAGCCTTTTTTTCCTCAACAGTGTTTGCACTACACGTCACCACGGTGCCACTTGCCAAGTTTCTCAACAGGCAAATAGCAAAAATGTGCTCCAAAGCTCCGAGTAAACCCAGCAGCGCACAGAGAAGCGGCTTACACGGGAGGGAGGTCAGTCCCCGTGCAAAGAACAGCATCACCCACCCAGCGAGCTCTACCTGGGCACCTTGCGGCCTCCAGAGCGCGACGGCAAGGCGAGCAGCCCGTGAACCTTCCGCTCCCAGGCCAGCTCGATCCGAGATGTGGATTTAGCACGGGGCAGATTAAACCAGAGGCGTTCAATGCGAAGCCGAGGAGAGTTTGCAACACAAGGGCTCTTCCAAATCCATGTACGCAGTAAAACCTTGGCAATCTGTCTCTCAAACAGCACCTTGCTTCATAGCAAACGATGCAGAACTACCAAAGTGTCTATGAAGGGGCCTTGTTTTGTATCCCACTGGTGGGACAGAAGAGACCCAAGGCTTCTCTTTGGGGAGAGCTGCCCGGATGCGCCGCCCTGCAAAGCCTTAACGAATTTGTCTTGCACGTGGTGCCAGGTTGCCGGTGCCTGGATTGCCCGGCAGCCCATGGACAGCGTCCGCATTGTGGGGCACCATGGTGGGTTCCCAGGGTCCTGCGAGGGCCGTGGGTGGCACAGCCGAAACGGGGACGATTCTCGTCGGCCCCGCCGGCTGCGGGGAGGCAGACGATGGCTTCGCTCCTTCCTCCTTTCTTCCCACGGTGAGATGCCTGGCTTGGAACAACAACAACCACCACCAGACTTCACCAGGTACCGCAGGAGCTCCAAATTACGCTCTGCTTGGAGCATGATAACAGCTTCGGCAGAGGGATGAGGACAAACGGTAGCAGAAACTAGGAGGATATTTACAGAAGCCACATGTAAAACAAAAAAGAAACCAAATTACAATCCCCTGCTAGCCCCATTTCCCTTTTTTTGCATCACATGGAACAGCCAGGACGTCACATCTAACAAAACACCACGGGATGTGCAGGGAACGGGAGCCATGGAGCTGCTGAGGGAAAAGAAGAGTATTTCAGGACCCTCTGAGGTACTGTTAGCTTTATGGTGCAGTAACTGGAAGATGTTTGGTGGAGCTGAATGGCACCATCACTGCCTTCAATGAATTGTGACTGCAATGCCCGCCAGCTTTGAAGGATCCTCCTAGATAGAGATATGGGACACCTTGACCCAAGTGGTATCTTTGCCCTGGCTTCTTCCAAACAGAAAGTACCCAGAGATCGTTCAGAGGCATTTCTAGTGCTGCGAGCACAACCAGACAGGTAACACGTGCTCCAAAGACAGGCCAGACACCACAGGTGAACTGTAGTAACTCCGGCTTCACCACAACGGAAGGCAAAGTCACGCAAGAGCACGTAACTACACCGAGAAACCTCAGCCGCCTTCAGAGGTAGCTCGTTACAAAAAGCAAAATAAATCGCACGTTTTCACAGAAGTGCCAAATCAGAGCACAAATCTGTGCTGCTCATTGAGGCTCTGGGGAGAACTGCTCTGGCTACCTTTCTACAGCAGCTCCTCCAGCAGGTTCACCGGGATTTTGTACCGTTGCCAACTCCTTTCCCACGTGAAGTAGAGATGTTCCCTGTCACTGCTGTATAGTGGCAGAGACAGCTGTGACAGCCTGTGACTTGACAAGCCATGAGCTTTTCATGGGAAACCAAGAAAGAGGGGAGAAGAAAGAAAGTTTTTCTTCATCGTAATTTGTAGTTTAATGCCCTTCTATCCTGAGTTGTTCTAAATACAAAAAGGATCATGCTTCTGCATGCTGCGAGCTGTCTCGCTTCTCAAGGCACTCTGCACTTCCACTTACAGCAGGCAGCTATTAAATGCAAACAAACTCCAGCTCTTCCCTGTATCAGCCCTGCTCTTTCCCCTCCTTTCTTACACTGATGCACCAGATTGAAACAAAAAGCAGCCCCAGAGGGCCTAGAAATGCTTCATGCAGCCATAAACTCCCTTAGAGGGACCAGATTTGTTTAGTAACCGTTAAAAGGGAACATAAGATTGACATCCCAAATGGCACCGCACGGCCCTGGCGGCTTCTGTAAGGAGCTCAACAACTGCTACGTGGACTGCGGGTATTAGGGGAAGAGCAACGCTGCGGCCTCGCGTGACGGAGCCGCTTCCGTGCCCTCCGCGAGCGCAGGCAGGCGCGGCGGGTCACGGCTGCGCCCTGAACCCACGGGTGGTCGCCACCGTCCCTCTGCAGAGGGGAGCTGCTGCTCTCTGCACCTTCTTCTGAAGGATTTTATCTCCCGGCTTGTGCTGGGCATTTTTTAAAATCATTAAGGAAAATAGCAAAAAATGGCTCTGTGTTCAATGTTGATTTTACAAAACCAGCTCCTGCAACCTCTACTCAGGATTCAATGTCCCATCGTATTCACCCAGAGCGGAGGGTCCTGACACCGGTACGGTAACAGAGAAGGGCAACCACGGAGCAGTGTCAAAAGCTGCCTATAAGGAACAAAGTCGTTTCCTGGCATGGAGAAATGCCAGGCGCTAGAACACAGGAGTCACGGCCTGCCGGCAGACGCGCTGCCCCGTGAGCTCCTCCACGGGACGCCGCTGTCGTCCTGGGACTTGCTCCGCGAGGAGAACAGCTCCCGCGTCCTCGAAGAGACAGTTCTCTGCCAACCGTCCGCGCTGCGGCTTGCTCCGGTCCGGGCGCGCAGCCGGGGCGGGAGGCTGGGCGCGTTCATCCTGCTTTGGCGCTCACTCATCCTTATGGCCGCAGTCCATCTTCCTGGCGCGCTCCGGGAGGAGCGGCAGCCCGTGCCCCGCGCTGCACCCGCGTCACCACCCTCCTGCTGCCCGAGGACGGGTCTCCCGCTGCCGCGACGTCTGCGCCGCGGCGCTGGCACCGCCGTCCTGCCGCGTCGGCTCGGGGCGCCCTGCCACCCGTGTTCCGTTGTTTTGCAGGGGCTTATCTGCACATATGGGCACTCCTCCTTCGTTCGTGATTCTGCTCCAAGCCTCTACTGCAAAAACACCTTTGTGGAGAATTTAAGGCAGAAAAGGCCCCAGGAAGCCCCTCGCTGGGCAGGGCAAGGAAAAGGCTTCAGGGCCAGGTGTGAGCACAACCAAACAGCAGTTGTGAGAACAGACAGGTGGGCTCTCGAGCTCCAGTGGAAAAGAGAATATAAATGTGTGGCTCACATTAAAACGGCTTTACGACATTGGTAATATATAAATTCCAACTGTTATGTTGCCTAAATTAAGGTATGATAAAAAAACAGGCCCAGTTGCCAAGCAATCATGTTTTACTTTCCTAGTAGGTTTTTGACTTCCATCTATATGAATATACTGAACTATTGACAAAAATATCATTAAATTGCACCAACTGCACTTCCTGAATTCTGCGGTCTGTTGCTACGTAAAGATGATTCTTTAAGATGAGAACCAAAACGAAACATACGCTGCATCTTAGGGAAATAAATTCATGAAGGCACTAGGATAAAAATGACTAGGCAGAAAAACACGGTCACTTTATGGATATACGTATGGCCACATACTACCTGGAGCCGAATGTGCTCTCAGCAGCTTCTTTCTTTAACACAAGCTCGTGCTGCCCCTCAGCCAACCCCACGCTGCCGCAGACGCCGTCCGGGAGCATCTCGGGCTGTTGCTGGTGAAGCACTTTGGGTTCTGTCGGTGTCTCGCAGAGACGCCGAGTCCCAGCGTAACCTCGCCGAGGCGCAGACCTCGCTCCGGTGGCGCAGCTGGAAGCGGCTCACGAGGCCCAGCCGCTGCTGGGAAACGCTGCTCAGGCCGGGTACCCGAGCGCCCTCCCGGGCGCTTGCAGCACGTCCGAGGAGACAGTCTGCTCCGCAGGCCCGCTGGACGGCAACCACGGCGGCGACGGGCTCGGTGCTCCGGCTGTCCTACCGGGCACGGCCAGGACGCGGCGGGAGGTGCGGGCTAAGAGCACAGAGCAGCCAGCAGCAACAAGGAGAGCCAAGGTGCGCAGGGAGGCAGCGCGGCCGCGGGCTTCTGCAGAGAATCAAACTCGGAGCCGCTTTCCTCCCTGCAGACCGCAGGAAGGAAGCGGCGCGTTCGCCCCGTGCGCTGCAGCTGCTGCAAGAGCTTTGTGTGGGGCCGAAGTGCCTGAGGAAAAAGCCTGGAGGATTTTAGCGGAATCAGGAGCTCCGGGCCGGAGCGAGGCTCAGCCTCCAGCACTGAGCCTCCCGAACGTCCCGAATGCTGGGACACGGGCAGCCACGGCAGCAGAGGAGAGGGAACGTTAGGGAACGTTTCTGTGAATCCAGCTCCTGGGATGGCCGGAGTGATTATGAAACACAGCTTCATTGTCGGGCACAAAAAGGAACGGGTTTTAGCTGCCGGGAAGCGTTTTGGCATCCAAGGTCCCCTTTCTGTGGACTTTCGGAGAAAGACGTGCAGTGATTCCTCTTCAGACCTGTACATGAAGATTCAGCACTACCAGGCGTGCTCACAAGTGGAATTCCAAGCTTTTCCTTTGGTGTATGGCTGCTGTGTGGCACTGGGGATTGTAACCAGAGCAACTCCGCGTTACCCCGAGGATTTCCTAACGAACAACTGCAGGTTCTCGCAAAGGCACCGAGCTTCCCACCGAGTTAGGCACAATCTCTGTATTTGTGCTGTGCCTCCAAGAGGCACAGAATTAAGCCTGTTCCTACTGTGATTCAGGGATTACAACTAGAACCAGAGCAACAAAACCCGCTCCAGTTCTGGAATGGTGTATCCCCCACAGAAGCAGCGGATGACTGTTTGCCCTCAGTGTCACACTCCAGAATACAGTAAGGTGACACTCTTGGTTCCCTCGCATCCAGCTTAGTGACATGAAGTGAATGTCAGAGGCCTTCAAAACACAGGCGAAGAGAAGATCCTGCGGAGCCACAGGCAGCAAATCCTCATTAAAAGGAGGATTTATGGTTCTGTATTACAAGCTGGAAATTCTGCGAGTTTGGCCCAGCGCTCAGCATAACGCCTTGCCTGTGCACAAACATTTCTTGCAGACACATTGGCTTAAACTGGATGGACGTCTGAATCCTTTTCAGTGGAAGTGCAAAAGAAAAAAACATGTTTATCCACACTGGGCTTCTTTGGGGATCCTGTAGACGGTGGCCACAACCATTTTTCTAATGTGGAGGGAAGGCAGAAGCAGCCTCGCAGGCAGACGCTCCTTGTGGCACGGGAAATGAATGGTTTTGTCTAAAGATGTTATGAAAATGTAGGTGTTTGAAAGGGAGAGGAACAACACGAAGAGCAGCTCTTTGCTCCACGCACACCCAACTTTCTCCAGTGAGCTAATTCTTAGGAAGTAAAATTAGAAACCGTGCACCAGAGCTGACATGCACCTCAGTACGGACCCGTTCTGGCATGAGCAGGGCACCACCACGCTACCAACGTCCTGCTGTCCAAGCTGTCCTCTTACTCTGGAAGAAGGTGACCTGAGCAATGTAAAGTCCCCAGCCTGCACCTAAACGCCAGCAGGCCGCTGGCCGCAAGGGGAACAGCTCTGTGCTGGTCCCCCGCACTTCTGCACTGCTGCCCTGGGGCTCCTCACGCACCGAGCCGGGCTTTGCTGTCACGCAGGCAGCACGAGCTGAGCACTCGAGGTTCTTGGAGCTCTTTGGATACACTAGAAAGTCTCTGCCATCTCACCTGCCAGCAGTTATTGCCTTTTTACGGACAGCAAGCCAGGGAGGCAGAGCAAGCTGGAAGAGCTGCTCGCACGCCAACAGAGACGGCCACGGGGAATTCGCTCCAGCTTCTTCTCAATTATTACTTCTACATCCAAGCAGCTCCGTGATGCTAAATTACTTCTGTCACGGAAACAAGCAGAGGTGAGGCTGAACACACACGAGAAGCCAAGCCCGGGGGTTGTCCTTCCTCAGCGCGCTATGAGCTGACCTTCTCCAGGACCTTGCACGAGGATGGAGAATTATCCTTCACAGACCCTTCTGATTGCCATGGAGCTGCCCGCACCCCAACACGGCTCTTAGGAGTCATGGAAAAGCCCTTTCAAGGACACCCTGAAGATTCCTCCAACAGTATTACAGCACCGTGTTTACGAAGGATTACTTCCAATACTGTTTAATTACAGCTCTGACCCATATATAATTTTTCCATTATAGGCCTCGCTCTTACCCCTTTTAAGTCCAATTCCATTATTCTGCGAGAGCCGGAGACAGGGAGATGTGCAGCGCTGAAATTTGTATTAGGCAATAGCGGGGAAGAAGAGAGCGCTTCCTCCAAGCTTTCAAGAGATTAGACAAGGAAATGAGGCCCGCCGTGGCCTCCTTTCATCTACATGTATAGTTTCATGAGGCAAACGTACCTCAAAGCTGGCCTCGGAGGCCTCCAATGAAAGCCATGCCTTGCCTTCCTAAGCAGCCTATTCCCAAGCTTCACTTCTCGCACTAGTTCAAGAAAGTTTTCTAATATCCAGACCTGAAGTTTCCTTGCCAAGTGCTGCGTGGTTGTCCTCCGAGTCCGTGCAGAGAAGGACCAGGACGCAGCCGGCTCCTCAAGGCCGCCTTCGCGTCCCGCGGCGGCCACCTCATCTTCCCGCAGCCCCTCGGCTTTCGCGCCTCCCCGTAGATGGCAGTTTGGGAACTTGTGATCCCCGCGGGACCTCCCTGTTGTTTCTCCAAGTGCAACGCTCAGAACTAAACCGCTATTCTGGTTTACTCGTGACCGAGCTGAGCAAACTAATTAAATCGCGTGCCTTGCAATGCTCCTCTTACTGCTTCCCCAAGTGAAGGCTTGGGTTTCGCTTTTGGATTTGCTACCAACACGGCCTCCGGCCGATGACGCATATTCAGTCCATGATCCATCTTAATCCCTAGATCCTGCTCCACAATGCGGCCACTCCAGGTGTTCCCGACTTCACATCGGACTTCCCAGCACCGTCGCGCGCTCGTGGTGGATACCTCTGGCTGGAGTCCCTATCCTGCCTGCCGCGGTGCGTGTACACCCATGGATCTCGAGAATAGAAATGAGTGAGTAAGACCAGAGAAACTCTGGAAGAGAAGAGTCTCGCCAGCCCGTAACGCGGGGGCCGCGGGGTGAGTGATGA